AAATGAGTTCCACAAGCGAGAAGTGTGAGAAACTTAGCATAGAATTTACATCTAGCCAACTCAACTGTAAATTGGTGAGACCTTGTCACTAGTCTAGTACTGTGCTTAAATTCAAAGAGTCTAGGCACCATGTTGAAGAGCTTATCTTGACAATTACCGTGAAAGTATTTATAAAGTCAAAGGGAGGCAACATTACAGTGGTGGGAAAGTGACTGAAACTGAGATGTCAGATAAGAGCCAATAATATTGCTGATTCTTCTTTGGATTTTATCAAGGAGCTCTAGATAAATAGCTGGAGAACTGGACAATATGTGGCAGCAATATTCTAAGCATTGATGAATGGTAGACTTATGGATATGTAAGACAGACTCTGGAGAGAAAAACTGTCTAGCATAACACAGTTAACCAACTTTCCTAGCAATGAATTCAATAGAACATTAGCCCAAGAAGGCACAATGAATCACATTTCATAGAGGTCAGCATCAGCCATGTTGATGGCAGGCAGAAAGGGGTCTTTCAGATGATTAGTAAAGAGCAGTTTAGTTTTGGAGGTGTTAAAATTAACAAGCCATCCTTTGCCCCAGTTAACAACAGACTGATAGTCGTTTGGGATATCAGCTGCCATTTTAACCTTATCAAACTTACTATTGAGGCAGGAGTAAATGGTTGATACTAAGCAGCATTGAAATTAAGTTGAGAGCTGATGTCATTGCAAAGGTCATTAATGAAAATCAAATACAAAGTAGAACCAAGGATAGAACCCTAGAGGATACCTACATTAGTACAAAAGGAACTGAAAGAGTGTTCAAGATTCATGATTTGATAGGAAAGGAAAGATTGGATCAGTTAATAAATTTGTCCAGAGACACCATAATTTTTCAGTTTGTGGATAAGAACTGCATGCCAAACCCTGTCAAAAACTTTCAAGATGTCCAAAGCTACAGTCTGGGATTCACCATTCTTATCTAGAGCTTGATAGACTCTTTCTGCAATTATTGTCAGTACATCAGCAGTTGTCCTGGAGAGACAAAAGCCATATTGCTTGTCTGACAAAAAGGCATTGTGATGTGAGATGCTTAACCAATTCGGCATTGACTAGGGCCTCTAGGAGTTTCCCAAAATTAGGCAGAAGTCTAACAGGCTGATAGAAGGGTTGGACTGTTCACCTGCATTCTTTAAAAACTGGAACAACAGATGAGAGGCTGTGAGGTACTTATACAGTTTAGAGAGTACAGGAGCCAGTTTGGGAGCACACTTCTTAATGACTGTTATAGGGATACCATCAGATCCAGGTTGGGTTATATGCATAACACTCAACAGAGACTCAGTCCTAGGTGGGAGGTTAGGCAGGGATACTTCAGATGAGTCAAGAGTTTAAAGAGAATTTATGGGCAAAAAATTAAGCTTTATCAGCAGATGTTAACACCTCAAATTGACTGAAGGATGATGAATAGAGAACTTCCATTTATTTAATACTTTATTACAGAACCATTAATGATAATGAGAACCAAAGATTTTGGACGCAATACAGTGCTTCATTCTCTCAGCAAACTGAGACTTAGCTCCTTCCAAGACTTGTTTAATTTTATTGCAAGCAGCAATGAATCAGTGTCTATGGTGATAGGAGCTGTTGTGCTGGTATAGCTGAAAATAGTGGTTCCTGTGGACAATAGTGGCAGAGCATGGTGGTGTGAATCATGGAGAAGATTGACAGTTCACCTGGTATTTCCATGAAGGAATGAAAGCATCCATACCAGCATTGACCCAAGATAAAACCTCAGTGGCACAATTCTCAATTTGAAGGTTAAAAATGTCAGTTCAGGGAAGCGTCTTGATGAAAATCATGAAGTGAGTCCCAATCAGTATGCTGGTAATAGAATGAGGTCTTATGAATAGTAGGTTCCTGATTAACAGATATTTGGAACTAAATATCAATGGATATTAGTGTGATCCGAGTTTCCAAGAGAACAGTGTTGTGAAAGAGAGGAAGTGAGAAATAAATCAAGTAGAGAAGCCTGTTGCTAGGGTATGCTAGAGAAATGGGTAGGAATTCTGTGTAAGGGATTGAGCAATTGGAAAAATAAATATCTGAATACTGGCAACATCAGTACTATTAGAATGTTCTTGTTTTAGTGCACATTAAAATCACTGAAGACAAAGATGTTTGCATAGGGATGGAGAGAAAGTGTTGTTTCTATACTGTCAGAGATTATGTCTAATATATTGCAATCCTGAGAAGAGGGGGGGTGACAAAGGGAAAAGAGATAGCTAACAGAATGTAATAATGAAAGATGAAAACACATGTAGGAATTGTCTGGGGATTCAACAGACTATTCCCTTGCAATCAGAAGATTATCCAAGATGTAAACACTAAGGCAATGCATGTGAATGCTGAAATCTTTTTGGTAAAGGCGAAGATAGCATGGAACAGAGAATTTATTGGTAGCAACGGTAGAATTTAAATTTGTTTGACTAGCCACTGACTAGTCCAATTACTAGAAAATTAAGAAAGTTAAATCATTAAGGCTCTGAAAAAAGAATTATGCTGTAAAAATCATGAATGTATTAATTTTGACAGATGCAGGTGATAAGCAGCAGCTGCACTCATCAGCAGGCAAGGTTAGGTTAAGTTAGGTTAGGTTTAAGGCTTCCAGTTCTCTACTCAGAATTGTCCCCTAGGATAATAGCCTAGTGGATTAAAGCATTGGTTTGTGAATTTGGCTTCATAGTAAATACCAATTGGGCACTGTGTACTCAGTGGAAACAAGGTTAGCAATAAATAAGTAGATATCCTTAGACATGATCAACAGAACAAGAACAATCTACTCCTGTAGATTAAATAAAGGGTTCAGTTCTAACTTTTCTGATGGTTACCCAAATTGACTAGCAGTTGATGAAGGCTGGAAGGTACAATGACTGAAACTTTGTGATAATAACAACAAAGATGAAGACAATAGTAGACATGAAAATAGTGTAAATACAGGTGTTCTAGAGCTAAACCTAAACTCTTTCTAATGAAAATGATAGTAGCAGTATTGTATCACTAAATCAGATGTGGGTTGAGTGTAATATGTAATCTGATAAAGACATACTTCATTATTGGCATGTATAAAAAAATGGCTGCAATGCAGTTTATCTTTTAACTATCATCTAAAAAATATGACAAATATGACACATTTGGTGAAGATTGTTTTTTTAACTGGTCAGTATGGAAAAACAGGCTCTTCCTTTTTTTTCCTTAAGGACTGTGATATAGGCCAATAGGTAAAAGCCAATAGAAATGGTGCTGTAGTTAATCAGGTAAAAGCTCATAGTTATTTGCATCATCAATCCAATAATCTGTCTATTCCATGGATGGAGTGAGTAAGCAACAAAGAGCTCTTAAAGAAAATGGTAAGAAAAAGAATACCTTTAGTCTGAATCAGGAAGAGACAGCTGTAATCTTTTGGACATATAATGAGGAAAACAGGCTTGAGAAACTTAACCCACACAGGGCATACTGAGTACAAGTGAGATTAAGGAAGGCACTGAGTCAGCTGATGAGCTTGTGTGAATGGATGGTGGAATTGATGGCAGGGGGACATAGCAAAGGGAGAAAAACTACTAAGGGTCATATGGGATAGGATGTTTTGGAGAACATTGATTGTCCATGTCCTGAAGGGATGCAGCACATAGAAGATGATGACCTGATTGTTCTCAAACACTTCTGACATTTGTCCAATCATTTCTGTCTTCCATAGTTTATCTAGCTCTTCCTTTCTGATTCCAGTGTCGTCTATGAGTTGGTTGATGAAGGTTCTTGCTGTTCTACCTCTTGATCTTTTCCAATAATTTGAATCAATTGTTGCTGAGACACAGCTTCTTGTTTACTTCCCCAGCAAGGACTGTTTTGCTCCATATTAACAGTGCCTGATGAAATTCTGATTTGTGGTGATTTGACAAATACATTTTGATAATATACATTTTATTATTATTATTAGAAATTGGAGATCCAAATCTGAATTCCATAAAATAAAATTGAGGTTTTTGTAAACGGAATATTTTCATGAGGAAAAGGAGAGAATAGGTACTGTTTTGTTTCTTTATTTGCTTTCATCAAAAATTGCTGATACTATTTTAAAATCATTATTCAAGAACAGCAAATTGAAAATCAAAAATTCTTTGACAATCAAAATGGAATCTCTAAGTTTGAAATGCCACAAACACGATAGAATATGAAAGCAAAAATATGTTCCTAACTAGTCATTCTCAAATGAACACTTCTGACTTCTTTCCAACCATTTCTGTCTTCCACAATTCTACTCAAGTTCTTTCTTTCTGATTCCAGTGTTGTCTATAAAATGATCAATGAAAGTTCTTGCCGGCTTACCACTTGATCTTTTCCCAGAATTTGAATCCATTAGCATAAACTGATGCATAACTTCTTATTTTCTTAACTGTTATTTATTAAACACTTGATATTGTCTGGTGCAAGATCACTATAATTACTATGCTTGCAACTTAATTTTCAAGATTAGTTCAGTAAACATTGTGCTATTGTAGATATACATAGTAAGTTAATATGGATATATCCCAATAATATTAACAAAGCAAGCTGGTACTGTAGCATTTGGAAAAAATACCTGAGGCAACTTAGTCAAACTGCAGCCATTAGGGAATAACTTAGACCTCGTGCAAAAGAGTGATGCTGTTCAAGGGAATTAATTCTCTATGTTCAATTCATATAAAAAATAAACTCAGACAAAAATTAGAATACTTATTTTTTTTAATAAACAAATTGAGTTGAAAAAGTAGCTGATACAGCTTATTTTGAAAAGTTTTGTCTATGGAAACATAGGCAAAGTTTTGCCACAGACATCTGCAGCAGACATAAACCTCTTAAAATTTATTAATGAATACAAAAATGTTCGCTGATACACACAAATATAGAAGCATATAAACTTATTTAAATAATAGTGAACGTTGGAAATACCATGGAACATGTGACAAATGAGGAAGGTTTAAAAAAAATAGAAAGAACGGCTAACATTTTTCTGACATATAATGGAGAAAGGAGGCTCAATGTAGGAGAGGAAGTGTAAAGCAATGAGTAATGTACTTGACAAGTTTGAGCAAATGGACAGAGAACAAATATGAGAGAGAGAGAGAGAGATTGGAAAGGAGTAAGTATAGCTGAAGGAAACAAAAGTTAGAATTCCTTTGTCTACATCCTGGTATTTTTTTGGGAAGCTGGACATTTGAAATGGTTTGAGAAAGTCCAAAGTACTTGAACAAAAATAACAAAACATGAACTTCAGACAGTTTATCCAGACTTTATATGAAAATTGGAAAAATATAATAAAAAATCCAACAGACTGACCTTGTCTGTTCTTTTAATCAGTTTTGTTTGGATGAATACTTGCTACCTGAATATACCTTATTGATATCTCTCTCATATATATATATATATATATATATATATATATATATATATATATATATATATGTGTGTGTGTGTGTGTGTGTGTGTGTGTGTGTATATATATATATATATATATATATATATATATATATATATAAAACACTCAAACACTAATATTCTATGGTTATAATTTATTACATTGGAATCATAATCACAATGCAATTCATCAGACCTACAAATTCAAAAAGCTTTTGGAATTTGTAGGTCTAATGAATTGGATCGTGATTACGATTCCAATGTAATAAATTATAACCATGGAATATTAGTTTTTGAGCCTTTTATATCATATTCTTACTCTGTCCTGGACATTGAATTCTACCTGGATTCTATCCTCTTGGGAATTTCACACACACACATCTGATACATGTTTGCCTAGATATATACACACACACACACACATCTAATATATGCCTGCCTCTATATATATACAGGTACATACACATGCATACAAATTAACACAGCCTTTAAGATACATGCATTATGTACACAAACATATGATTACTGCTTAGAAACAGTAGTATAATGGATGGCTTTAAACTTCCCCATTTGTAGAAATAGATTCAGCTGGATGATCTATGTAGAAGAGCTATGCGACACAAGCAGGATTTAATACTATTGAATGACAGGACAATTTTTGAGGGTCAGCAGAAAGATGGGCATTCTCTCTCTAAGATGATGGCAATTACTAAAGTTTCTAAATTTTTAGCACTTCAGTTTTATATATATTTATTGTGTATTTAGGCAGCAATCCTTCATTTACGCATGTTTCATTAAAAATGACAGACAAGTTACTATGATTAAGGTTTTTATTTTTCTTGTGTTCGAACAAATGTTTTCTTTTTTGGACACAGAGTGTGTAGAAACTGTCCAAATGTTCTATAATTCTGAACGTTTTCAGTGATACTTTTAGGCATGATCAAGGATGATTTTATTTTTTCAGTTTAATTTTTCAGAAATTTAAACTGAGTCCAAAAAAGAAAACACTTGTTCGAACACAAAAAAAACACAAAGCTTAATCGTAGTACCTTGTCTGATGTTTTTAATGAAACATGCATATATATATATATATACATACACAAGATTAATAGTAGGCAAGTGAATGAGAAAATGGGAAAAATTCTGAGTGACATAGTGACATGTTTCATTCCAAAAAAGAACATTCAGGCTAATAAAGGTTCTCTTGGTGGAATTAGTTACATAAAAAGTAAAGCAAAGTGGGGAGAAATACAACAAATGCTGGTTACAATTTTCTGTCAATATGTTCAAGATATAGAGGCACTCAGTGTTAAAATTAAAATTTGTCACCTTATGTATCTTGATGTCATTCAGTTTTTTTAATGCTTTATTTATATCACTATAAATTTTAATTATTTCACATTGTAATAACAGTAGTTTTATGATGAAAGAAGATATGTTGCAATATTCTGGACATAAATTTACTACAGAGGATTCTGAAATTAGAGTACATTCAATTCATTTTTGCCTTAATAAATTATGCTAAAACCTATTATGATGAATGACAAATGTATTGATTGTATCAGTTTGCAAAAGGTACCTTTTATGTTCATATAATTCTTTATTTCAGTTCCAAGATGAGAGATGTAAGAATTTAAAGAATATATGAATATAAAAGGCATCTTTTATAAAACACTGCATTAGTCATTCATCCTAATAGGTCTTATCATAATTTTAACATAAAGAATACAGTTTTGATTAAGAGTGAGTGATTCAATTCATACAGCTTATTAGCCCTTTGCAGGTTATTTAAAGCCAGAAAATATTTTTAGATTTTAAGAATTTTTTTGAGTTAATAATGATTTTTTTTTAAGTTAATAATAGTTTTACTAATTAACCCACATCTGGGGGAGAAGAGGTGGATTCATAACTTTCCACAGGTATTTGTGCATAAGTAAATATAATGAACCCAATGGGAATTGGAAGTTGGTTCTCAGATTAATAATTCTGAGCCATTATCTATTACATCACCTACATATCCAAGCTTACAGCATCGGTATTCCCAAATAATAACCCATCTAGACACTGACCAGGCTTGACATTGCTTAACTGATTATATGGGAACCAGTTTTTCAACATGTGGGCATAACCTGTTTTGATTAAGAGAGAAATTTATTAAGGTGAAAATTTATTGAAAGTGCCTTAATTGATAAATGATAAATTTACATCCTCAATTATTTCTCTATTGCTCAGAAAATTATGCCTATTACAACGTGGGATTATTAACAACAATAGTGATGAACATAAAAACAAAAGCGATAAACATGTGAATGAGTTAGACTAAGTTAAACATCCAGATATATTTGATGTCACCATTTAAACTTAAAGCTGAGCATCTATCTTTAATGTTTTAATTAAACTGTAATTAGTGTTTGTTGTATTTCTCACTGCCATTTTTATATATAAGACCAATTTTATCAATAAAATCATTATTAGTCAGAAGTTCTTTCTTGGTATTAAATGTGTCCCTAAGAGGTTTTTCCCACTTTGGCATTCAACATATGATACTGATATATCAATTTTTATATATTTAGAAAAATTTGAGAGGAAAAATGTATGACAAATTGAAAAAAGTTTTTGCATGACACTAAGAAAAAAAAAACAGATATATAATGCTACTTACTAACTTGTTAACATCTATTCAAAACAATTTATCCAATCTCAACAATATCAAAATAATTACAACCATATCCAACACTACAATGGATATTATCAGAAAAAATACCCATAACAATAATAATTCTGAAGCAGGTATATATAAAATAAACAGTCACAGCTGCTCTTTACAATACACTGGGGAAACTTGCAGAAATTTAAAAAAAATATCTGTGAACATAAAAAGGATCTTATACACAAAAATTTGTCAGTGGGGGAGTTTCAATCTCAGAGGGTTCAATAACAAATTCAAGAACTTTAAGACCTGATCCAAGATTTGCTGTATGCTGATGAAGCTGACTTTGTAGCAAACTCAGAGGAAGATTTGCAATCCATAATGGATTGCTTCTCTCCCACTTGTGATGCTTTTGGACTGTGGATTAGCCTGAAGAAGATAAAAGTGATGTTCACCCCTCCACATGGGATGCTCGATAAAGAGCTAACAAAAATACCAGTCTGGAGGTTGTTGACACTTTTCCATATCTTGGAAATGCTATATCAAAGGTCAGTGCCCTAGATGCTGAAATTTTTTCATGCATTCAGAAGGTAAGTGCTGTATTTAGTAAATCGGAAAGTATAGTTTGGTCAGATAGGGACACCAAGTCTAAAGTAATGGTGTATACAGACTATGTCTTAATGTCATTACTGTACTCTTCTGAAACATGGACAACATACTGGAGGCAGAGAAAATGGCTTGAGCAATTCCACTAAACATGCCTGAGATGCATCTTTAACATTAAGCAGCAGTTTCTGATTCCAGACACCGTTGTCCTCCAAAGATCTGAATGCAACAATATTGAAATAATTATAATCCTCAACCAGTTGCAAATGGGCAGAACACATAGTGAGAATGGGGAATAACAGGATTCCCAAAGAACTTTTCTATGGGGAACTGAAAACAAGAAAGGGTCCACTACACAAGCCTAACAGTCAGTTTTCAGTTGGTGCCTGATGATTGCTATCTGCATGAAACTCAGAGTTGGACAAAATGCCAAGGAACAAATGTATATTTGTTAGTAGTATAAATTTTATCTCTGCTATTTTACATTGAACACCGTTTTATTACCACCAAGAATCAGAGCGCACTATATATATATATATATATATATGTACACATACATGCAGGCACACACACACCGTATATACTCGCATATCATGCAACTTTTGAAGACCTAATTTTGAAGCTAATTTGACTACAGTAAATGGATAAGTAGTTTGGTCAATGGCATAGCCAGGACCAGCAGTACATATGCTAATTTTCTATCTTGTGTATGATGTGACCTCTTTAAAATTAGCTTCAAAGTCAAGTCTTCAAATGTCACATGTTATGCTATTATGTGTGTGTGTATATATATATATATATATATATATATATATATATATATATATATTGTGTGTGCATATAAACACATTTACATGCATATCTGATTCTTCCAAATTTTTGAATTATTGAATTATTTCCAGTTATCTTGTTTTTATAAAATACAGCAAGATTATCAAATGCTACAATTGTTTGTCTTTTTTTACAATTTTTGAAACAACTATCTTCTTGCAATATTGAGAACTCCAGTTCCAAAACTCTTGGAAATTCTTCAAAGATGTTTCCTATTGGTTCAAATTTTTTTTCTTCTTCTGTTTTTTCTTTGCTTTTACAATTTGTTTCTTTAAATCTGTGGAGAACAAAAAAGAAAAACATAGGAAAAAAGATGGAAAAAAACAGAGGATGCATGAGTAATTTTGGGGAGCCAAATAAGTAAAAATGACAGCATTTCTTCACCATTGCCAATTCATCCAGGTGATTCTTGCCATAAATAATTGTCTACTAATTAAAAAAATGCTCTGTGATAATAACTTTTAAATTGTATGATCATGAAATAAAGGTAAAATTAAAAGATAAGTACATAAAGTTAAAACTTTTTGACTTCATACAAAAAATAAATTCACTAAAATTCACAAACACACATGTGACTAGTCATATATTTTAAACTACTGTTGCAGATTGTTGTTAGTTCAATATTTGATAATTATGGCCTTGTGCCAAAACTAAACTGTGATTAGTAATTAGACACACACATCAAGATGGCTTACACTAAATTTCTCTAACCAGAGCTCCATACAGACTGATATATCTTTATGCAGCCAACAACCATAGCCACACACACTTTACACTTAGCGACCCATCTCTCTTTCCAACCTCCCTAATAATATAACAAAAAAAAACAACACTTGCAACCTGATGATTGCATCTAGCATGAAACAGCCAGTCGCCCCTCAGTGTTGACTTCAATGTTCACTTATATATATATATATATATATATACTCGACTTTCCTGTCGAATTCAATGTATGAGGGTCAACCAGATCAGTTCCCAGGAAACCGACAGCCTGACAACAGCACATGAGGTTTGATTATAGTGGTGAAGGTTTCGTGCAGGACCATCCACACGTTTTGAAGGACCGAATACAGAGATTTGGTGCACTACATGCCACAAGGCCCCCAAACGACCCTCTGCAGGTTTTGAATTCAGAGTTGTCCTTCTCCTAGACCAGTTGCCATCCAAGGCTATAGAACCCAGTCTGTCCTGTTATTTACCCAAAGCTGGAGGGAGAAGAAGAGGATTCACACATCACACATTTCCCAAGGGTATTAGCACGTAAGTGAATATAATGGATTCAACTAGAATTCAAACTCGGCTCTCCAATTCCTCAATCCAAGCCACTATCCATATAATATATATATATATATATATATATATATATATATATAAAATAAATATGTTATTAAATATTAAATATTATAATAATAAATTATTATTGACATAGTTTTATCTAAAGATCACCTTATATATTGAATTATATGGTAAAAAAGATGTTGACATTCAACAATACTTCAAATAAAAAGGTCAGGAAAAACCCATCAATATTGGAAAGAATGATAACAGTTAATGGACTTGAGAAACCTATTAACCTGAAAAATTGTTTTAAGAAAAAGATTTTATAAATTTCAACCCAAATCAATACTGGCTGCTTGATCAATGAATGCCAAATGCTTCCTTATAGTGAAACAGCTAATACCAGTGTTGCATAGTGAAACAGCTTCTGACCAGTGTTGCATAGAGTAAAACAATGCTTCAATGGCAACAAGTCTGGAGAACATGCAGTGGATTTGGAAGAAATTCCACCCTAACATCATAAGTGTTTTTTGCATCATGTTTCTACCAAACGGATGCATTGGCAAGTATCAGAATCACTCGTTTTCTCTCATGTTCAGAAAAAGGTAATTTCTCTTCCAATGCATCAGCATTGATATTGTGGATAATGCCATTTACTTCATTAACTCAGATGCTTGAATCTGGAAAAGATTCACTTATTATTTTATCTGTTTATGACAGCAGGAAACAAAAAATATCCAAATGTGTGTGGCATATTGATTAGGATTAAGTGCAAATACATTTTTATGAATTGGGACCCTAAAACTAAAGGTAAATTTATGATTGTGTTAAGAAATTCTTACCTGGTGGATGGAAAGTGCAAGGTACACGACCATAAAACTCATGGAACTGTGTAAGCAAATTGGGATCAACTGGTACCCAAGGGATCACATTTGATAAGTGTACTGGGATATTTTCAGGATACATCTTTTTGAGATCAAATGTGAGAGGACTGGAAAAAATGAAAATACACAAAAAGGTAATTATATGTAATCACATAATTCTGCATAACCAACATTACGGATGCCTTTGATAGTCTTTCACAGAATGAATTATTGTTTTATGACTCCTGGTATTATCCCACAAGCAATATTTTGCATAATCATGTGAGTTCAGGTAAAAAAGACAAAAGAAATAGTATTTAAAAAAAAAAAACCCAAAGAACAATAAATATATTAACAAAACATATTTGTAGAAAAGAGTAAAGAAAGAAATTAACATTATCATTGAAATTACTGATAGGTGATGTTTCTGAAGTATTTACATTAGGTACTGCCACAAAACAGAAAAAAAAAGAAAAGATACCTAAGATTTAAAATGAATTTTTAAAAATGAAAAATCTTTCTTGAAGCTTTTATTTTAGTTTTAATTTCAAGCTAATAGAATAAATTATTATTTCCAATAAGAAAAATACTTTACTATATTTCAAAAACTAATTTAAATTGATTGGAAGGAGTTTTTTTTTCTAAAATAGCTGATTAGCACCCTTTTTTAGTCATCTTTTATTGCAATGTAATTCTCTTTATTAAAAAAAATCTTCCAAAAATAAAATATACATTTCGGAAAGTTTATTTGAGGAATACTAGCTGATTTAACATATAATTAATCTGATTCGAACAAATATTATTTCAGCTTAAGATATTGCAGAAATGCATTTTTTAACCCAACAGTAGCTGCTTTTTTAACTGACACTAACCATATTGAGGTATTTAACAAGGTGATGACAGGTCTAATACAGAGACTTTATCAATAAAACATAATTGAAGTAAATAACATGAGCCTCTTTTTTATTTAATCTTTAAGTACTCAGTAATCTATTAGATTTAGGAAAATCTTCATAATCAAATGTCTTATTGAATTTTAGAAATTTTGGCTTTAAAATTACTATACTCATCACTGTTATTTTCTGATAATATTGTATACGTTCACCCGATACTTACAACAAATTATGTTTGTACAATAATAAAAAATTAAAAAAATTTTAAATATTGGTGTTTGATGATTTGTATTAAGCTTTTTCATTTATGATTAATAAATATAGTTTTCACTTAATAATATCATCAAAACCACTGAAATTAATACAGATATTTAAGATTTAAAACTTAATAATTTTTTCTAATTAAAATTTAATAAAATGAAAACAATTCTTGTAAAAATTCAGTATTCATCAAATAATGATTTTTTTTCTTAAAGACAATAGTGTCCTTAATATATATCTTATTTATAAAAGCAATTAGGAGCTTTTATAATTAAATAATGTCATAGTTTTATTACATTTTTTATTTTATGATTGAGAGCAGATTTTCAATAAATGGTATGTCTGACAATGATAAATTGATGATTTAAATTCAATGAGTTCTACTTTTAAATAATATAAATATGAAGATCCTAAAATTTTAATTTCTCTGAATTTCATAAAATTAAGCAAGTGGGGTTAAAAGATGTAAAAAAAACTATTTTTACAAAGATTTTCTAAAAAAAATATTTAAAAAATAATTTAATTCTTTTGTGGATAAGTCTTGAAAATGTTAAAATCTGACAATTATTTGATTTTTACAAGAATTTTCAAAACTGTGTTTTTTTACCACAAAAGGATGCTAAAATTTTTCATACTAATCTTTGGTCCACTGCCTGATGGAAGAAAATGAAGATTTTTAACCAAAACTTTGAACATGCTAGAAAGGACTAAAAAGTTTTTTAAAAAATAATTAAAAAAAATGCTTTGGTCATCCCTCTTAATCACAAACATTTTGTTGATAAAACTTTGTTTTTATCAAGTTTGGGGCCTTTTTCATTATGCTATGCTCTTGTTTAGAAAATCTTTGGGGGCACCTAATTTACATGCTATGTTTTTTTGTGCGAGGAAATAAAAGGCACATATTGTCACCCTGAAGTCAAAGGGAAAAACAGAGCAATCTTTTCAAAAATCACACCACTTGTAATTTTAGTCAGAGGTAGTAATTCAATGAATTTGATAGGCTCAGTTCAATTTCAATAAAACATAATGTACTTGATACACTAAATACACTTTGAGTATAAATATAAATGTAGCTTATATAAAAAAGGCCTGAGAAAAGTAGGTTATGGGTACAAGTTGAACTATCACCCCTTAAGTAAGAGGGAACACACATACCAATAATACCCTGTTTACCCATGTGGATGACCCACTTAAATATGAGTTACTGCCTGTTTGGGTGTTCTTGTAAGAGGTCATTCTCAACTTGGCCTGAAGTACTTTTATGGAAAACAATTCACCTGTACAATATTTTGATGGAGAGAGGGTGGTTTGTGCACTGTGAGCAAATGACCACTATAAACAAATCAGAAGTGCAGGTTGTTTTGGTCAACTACTTTGTCTTAGAAAGATCTTGAGTACATCTTAAGTACAAAAATCTTTTTACTGAAAGCCTCATTTGTTATTGTATTATAAGAGATTCTTATATAACACACATACATATGTTTAGTTGAATAATCAGCACATTTGAGAGGATTAAAAATAAAATAACAAACATATGTTTAGATTATTCAGCCAAACATAATTGAATAAAGATATGCCACACACAAACACACACACATTATATATATATATATATAAACGGATATACAAAATACCTTACATTTATTGCACAACTTTGAGTGTCATACTGGAGCAATTATCAAGTGTGGGTATTTTTATTTTGGGTAACACCAGTTTTACAAAATTTTTAGTTATCTCAAGATACTTTATTGTTGGGGTAGCATATTATTGTTGTTAAAATATTTAAATGAATTGTGGTTTAATTTGGTTTTTGAATTTAGGCCCAGATTAACACTTAAGGTTGGAAATAAGAATTATAAATTCTAATTTAGAGAGATGCTGATGTAATAAAATTAATAAACAAGAGACATTAGAAAATCAAGGGCAATTTTTTCCATGAAAATCAGTAAAGTAATAATATTATGAATATTAATATTACTAAACTAACTAAAAGTAGTGATATCAATAATAATAAAATATGCCATGATAAAATGAAAATATAATCAGATCTAAAAACACCCATATCAATAATAGTTCAGAAGCAGGCATATATGAAATAAAATGCCCAAACTGTTCTTCACGATACATTGGGGAAACATGCAGAAATTAAAAAGAAAAGACATGTATACAAACACAAAAATCACCATATAAATAACAATTTAACAAATGCACTAGACATACACGGAAATAAATTCAACCACAATTTTGATCTAAAATTGCTACTCATCAAAAGAGAAAGTAATTTAATTAGAAGAAAAACCCTTCAGAGTATTGCCATCGAATATTATCAAAATATCAATCTACAGCCCATTTTTTTTCCAAATCTCACTTTTCCTGAAGAAATTACTACTTTCCCAAGTCAACATACACAACAAATGTGTTAAAAAGTCAAAGGAAAATGGTTGAATCCATCATTTCAACTTTCAGAGATTTATAATACCAAAAAAAAATAATTTGTTTTTCAAGTATACTAAATGACATAATCTAAGATCTATATGCTGTCATATTTTAGTTAGCCTCTTGAATATTTATGAGTCTTTAAATTTTAAAAATTCCTTTCAAAGATGCTATATTATGTAATCTAAGTTCTTATACCTAAACTTATCAGTTAACCTGATTAATATTTATGAATATTCTTAGATTTAAAAATTTTAACTGTCAATTTGTTGCAAAATAAAACCATCAAATTTGCCTTGATAGTCTGTCAGATGAAATGTGTTGGCTAAAATCTAAGTATAGTTTTTCTCTTGTCTTTTCATTCATTTTGTCTCTTCTACAGATATACTTTTGAGAATATAATAATAATAATAAATATACATTTTTTCTACATTGGCAGCACTTCGAATTTCATGCATGATGTAATCACCTGGTGCTGATTGAAATCTGACCATTGTAGAATTTATTAAGACCTTGAATAAGTTCTTACTGATTTTTCATGAAAAGTAATGTTTATTTACAAAAATTAGTAAGAAACATATCACTGAAAGTATTGTCCATCAGTAGCCATTACTTTTTCCAATCTTTCTGGCAGCATTTGAATTCCACATTAGAAAAACGATATGCCTTTTGAGGTTAACCATGAGTTGACCCATTTTTTAGCATCTTCATAAGAATGCTGCTCAGCCAGGCCATGTGACATTGATTGGATGGGGCAATGTCTGGTGAATACGGCAAGTTGGGTAGGACTTCTCATTTAAGTGTTTCCAAATAGGTTTTCACCCGTTTTGCAATATGTGGCCTAATGTTATCATGTTGCAAAATCACTTTGTTGTGTCACTCCTTATATAATCGCTGTTTTTTCTTGAATGCTCTGCTCGAACACATCAATTGTAGTTGATAGCAATCTCCCGTGATGGTTTCAGTTGGTTTGAGCAGCTCATAATAAACTACAACCAGCTGATCTCACCAAATGCAGAGATATTCAGCTTTGTCAATGATGTTGATGCATGGCTGGGCTTACCCCATGATCTTCTATGCTTAGGGTTATCATAGTGTATGCACTTTTCATCACCAGTCATGATAAGATGCAAAAAACCTTTTCTGTTGAAGTAGCTGTTCCCATGTGACAAGATGCTGTTCGACATCTCTTGTCTTCAACTCATATGGTATCCAATGTCTTTGCTTTTGAATAATTCCTAATGTCAAAACTGTTGTGTGATCAACTTCTAATGATTCTGCAAGTTCAGCTTGCATCTGACATGAGAGTTCATGAAGTAATGCCTCCAATTCTTTGTCTTTAAACTTTTTTGGTGTGCCAGAGTGTTCTTTATCATCAACATCAAAATCATTATTTTGAAAGTGTCGAAACCAATTTCTGCATGTTGTTTCCAACAGAGCATGGTCACTGTAAGTCTCAACAAGAATTCTGTGTGCTTCAGCTGCAGATTTTTTTTTGAATAAAGTAGTGCAGTAAAATTCCCTGCAAATACACTTTCTTTGGCATAAAATCAGACATGTTTAATGCTAAGAAAAACAAAGTTGTTTATACTTAGGCCAAATGACATACACTGAATTTCAAGCTTGCTTATAATAATTCCTTACTGATGTGTTACCATCTGAAACTACATGCATGCAGTTCTGGGCATGCCATCTGCTAGAAAACAGCAAGAACTTATTCAAGGTCCTAAAAAATATTGATATTTATGCCATACTGTTATGATAGTAAAGTAATACATTTATTTATGGGAGGAAAAAACTGTATACACTTACATACACCCAAATCTGAACATATAAATTTAATTTCAGTACAAATATGCACATCTATAATATCTATATACATATATATATGCACATATAATTCCAAATATAATACACAAGATTCACACACACACACACACACACATATATATCTTAATGCATGTTTCATTAAATAATATAGACAAGTTTATCTATTTATTTTAAGTAAATTTCTTTCATATTGTCGAATAAGTGTTTTAGCATTATCACTAATACGCGAAAGAAAATCACCAGGTTAAGCTTTCAGTTTACATAAGCCATCATCTGAGTTTACAAGTACATTACAATAAATTAAATAACAAAGATGGGAATTTTTTTTAGAATGGTTATGTGGACATTGCAACAATAATAGTTTGTTTTGTTTGCATGAAAGATTGCTATGCAACGATAAATTTGTTCATATGAAACGCAGGAAGCAAATATCACATTGTGGTTCATGAGATCACCCATATATATATATATATATATATATATATATATATATATATATATATATATATATATATATATATATATATCCATTCTTTATATATATATAGTCATCTACAGACAGACTGTTTTGCTGTATCACAGCTCATCAGTGTGGCTAGACATGAGATTGCTTCAAGTTGGGATTGAAACATAACTGATTTGACATTAGTCAAAGTCTCTCAACTTACGCTATCAGTGCACATAGCAGAAAAAAGGAATTTTTAATGCATTATATACGATATAAGCATTACCGGCTACCAGAGTGCTCAATTCATAGCAAATGGCTTTTAGCATTAATTAGCAGAAGCCAAGAAATTCCCTTTCTTCCAAAGTAATCACCCTACAAGAGGGGGCATATGTAGTCATCTACAGACAGACAGTTTTGCTGTATCACAGCTCGTCAGTGTGTCTAAACATGCTATTATTTCAAACCGAGATCAAAATATATATATATATATATATATATATATATATATATATATATATCTGATATAAAGAATGGATTTTATTTTTTAATCTGACATTATTATTACTTCAAATACTTTTTTAGTGGATACCCATATTTGAGTAGATGCTTCTTTTATTTTAAGCAGTATTTATTTCATTTACCAGCATACCCACACAATTTTTAATAAGTTTTTTTAACATGCAGGCTGGTAGATCATATAAATGCCATTTAAAATAAAAAGGAGCATATATATATATATATATATATATATATATCCAGGTAAGATGAGATTAAATTAAACATAGGCCATATCTGATTGGTTGATGCCTACAAGCATTATAACCCCACCACCTTTTTTGCCTTTTTTGTAAAAAGAGGTTGTATTTTCTTTTTAAATAAATCATTCACTCCCCAGTAATTTACAACTGCATGATAAGAAGCATTCATATGCATTGAAACACAACTGCAATTGACATGTTTTTGGTGTAATATCCTAAAATAAATTTTATATATATATTATAGGAGATTAAAATAAAAACATGTTGCAGATTAAATGATGCCTTGGACTTTTACAATGGGCTAGTACCATAGATGTCATCAAAGGTTCAAAGGGATAAACAATAAGATGAACTGTTTTTTTTATCCAACTTGATATCGTGACTTTTACCCATCAATTTCCAAGGACCTTTTTACCTTAGTTTTGGAGTTTTATAAAGAATACTCCAATATTTCCAACAATGATCTGGATATAATAATGAACTGCAGAAGATCTGTTTTCATTCACAACAATGAACAGTGGGTTAAGAACAATTCTGATGGTCACTTTGATATTTCTATGGAATCATTAGATTTTGCAGCGTCTTCTGACCTGGTAGGTTTGTTTATCTTATATAATTTAAGTGCTTATGATGATGTTAGTGCTGATAATAGAGGATTATATAGAGATGATGGTCTTCTGTTAGTAAAAAATTCTACTAAAATTAAGGTTGACAAATTAAGGAAAATAATCCATAGAAAATTAGGAAGCCTTAACCTTAAAGTTAATATCACTACTAATGTTAAACAGGTAGATTTTCTGGATGTTACGTTAGATCTTGTTAATGATATATTCCAAACTTATATGAAGGTCAATGCCAACCCAATATATATTCATCCAAACACTAAACATCCTCCATCTGTAATCAAAGATATACCCTTCTTAATAGAATATAGGATCAGCAACAACTCTTCTTTAATAAGCAGTGTTTATGTATTATAAACTTAAATGCCTTAAAAAATAGTTGTAAAAGTGCATAGAAATCAAGTATAGAAAACATAATACCAATCGAAGAAAAAGAAATAGAACAGGAAAATCATTGGTATACATCCCCATTTAACTAAATGGTTAGTATGAAGTTAGATTAGAAGTTCCTCCATTGCAGAAATTTTGACAATTGCCTATTCCAAAACAAATGTCTGGCCAACTCTCTTGCTTACCTAAGCACTATTTTTACAATAGAAAATCTGACTGTTGAAAAATTTTATATAGGGAGTACTAAGAATTCTTTAAAAACTAGGTTGTACCAATATATCCTATCTTCCACCAATAGTACTTATAAAAATAGAATCTCTCTTTCCAAATATTTTTGGAATTTAAAAGAGGTTAATAAAACTCCAAAGATAAAATGGAAAGTTTTAAAAAAAAAGCTAGAACTTGTAAATCCATAAATGAACCTTGCTTCTTATGCTTACATGAGAAATTGGAAATTATTAAATCTACTGATAAAAATTCTCTGTTAAACCAATAAAGTGAATTAACTGAAAATTATATGCATAGTTTACCTTTCACCTTACAATATAGTTAAACTTTGAATTTGGTAGTACATTTTCATATGGTCATAATTAGTAAGTGAATTGTGGTGCACCTTCTATGAATGATCATTTTATTTTGTTTATTTAGATTCAATATAGCTGTGTACTGCTGTCTAGTCAGCATTATTAACATCTTATAATGGATGTTCTGTATTTTTATTTTTAAATATAGGTAGGATTTTATTTCAAGCTACATTATACCAGGATCTAAATTTTCTTTTTTAGGTTAATTTTGAATTTAGTGTAGATCTGACACCTGATTGGTTAATCAGGGTAAACCCACAGCCTCATTTTAATTATGAGCTTGTATTTTTCTCATCTTCTTTCTCTTTACTCACCAGTTATTTACCATTGCCTGAAGAGGCACAGGTTAGTGCTGAAACACGAAAGCTATTGTGTAGCGATTTTTAACATGTTTTTGTTTTAATATACTATAATCAATAATATAAAGCTCTACTCTGTATTGAGCTCTTTTTAAAAATTAAAATGTTACAGACAGTGGAATTATACTCCATTTGTCCTTATATATATATATATATATATATATATATATATGTATGTATGTATGTATGTATGTATGGAGAGAGAGTGTGCCTAAATCAATGAGACTGAAATTTCAACTTTAAAAACTGTTAATTTATTAGTGTCTATTTTTTATAATTCAAATCTTGCAGGTACAGATACTACTGCATTCACCCAAGAAAATTTCTATTAAATTTTTTATTAGGTAACTTGATCATATTTTTCAATTTTACTTGAATTTAATACACCAATCAGTTCACATTCTTCCTGATTTAATTTGATTAATTAACCCATTAATGCCAACCATAAAAATTAAAACAAAAATCTGGTATTATAAGTTTCTAAAGAAAATTACATATTAATTAAAAATTTATAAAATATAGGACAGTTAAATCGGTTAAATATACTTGGTAAAGTTAATTTGACATTAAATCATTAAATATGAAACACATACACATTCATTTAAAGGTAAAAAGCATTAATTCTGCCAGTTAATGTATCTAATAATATAAAATCCAAAAAAAATTTAAGCTATAACCAGTCTTTCCCAATTAAGGTTAATAGAAACTGTTGGGTTCTAAGAAAGATCATCAGAGTTTCTTTTAGAGATAGTCATAAAAATAGTAGAATAATATAGATTATAAACAGTTATATTTGCCATGTTGTTTAGTCTTTCTCAAGAAATCATGATAATAAAAAGAAGGCTGTGGAGAGATGTAGTTCCTTGTCTGAAAGGGGCATGGCATTTAAATAAAAATTAGATTTTGGAGTATAATGAAAAAAGCAACAATGTACACAAAACTGGCAATAGTCAGCTATAGATTGGAAGTTGTAAAGTTGTAAATGAGCTTGAGTCTCTTCTCCCAAAATTAATAAAATATAAACAATCTTAAAACAAATAATAGTTGAAGAAAATGTGCTTTCGATGTTTTAAAATATTTTTTTTTTATAAACACAGATGCATAATATACAATAGTAGTTTTTTTAATGTCAGAGACAAATGAGCAATTTATCCACATTTAATTGTTTGGCAGGATAGAGTTTTTTTTCAGAACAACAGTTTTTATACAGGCATATCCAGAAGAGACAAACATCATGATAAAGATTTTTCCAGGAAAAAAATTCTTTTAGAAGACCATAAAATCAGCAATTATTTCAGGGTGATCTAACAATACTTCACAATATCAGCAGGTTTTGTTGATACTCTGTGACATTTAAGGAATGCCAAATTCAAGCAGATACAGTCTATGCCCAATTGTAGATGCTCAAAAAATATTTCCTCTTTTCCCAGAATCTATATTAATCTTGAGGTAGAAAAAAAATAAGATATCTTCTGTAAAGTGAAAGAACTTTGGAGATGTTGTAAAATACTTACTGGGATTTTTCTGGCATAACTTGACTGATAACAGATGCATTTTCACCTTCAGTATGGCTAAGAAAGTAGCTTCCTGGTTTTAGGCTGAAAAATTAAAAAAAACATTAAATGCCTTCAATAATGGATGATTGCCTCTTATAACAAGTATTACATAATTATTATAAATCACTTTATATATATTTTTTTGTTATATATAATTTGGATATATAATTTATTTATAAGCCCTTATATATATATATATATATATATATATATATATATATATATATATGTGTGTGTGTGTGTGTGTGTGTAGTGGTTATCAACATGAGAAGGGTGATTGGTGTATTAAGTTCAAATACCAGCTGAAGTTGTTGCATTTGCTTTCAGACAAATACTCTTGGGAAGGTATAAATCTATCTCTTCTTCTCCCAGAAGTTAATAGCAGGACAAATTGAGCTTTCTAGCTTTTGTTGGTCACTAGTCTAGGAGAAGAACAACTGTGAATTAAAAATTTTGGGGGCATGGGACGAGCAACTCCATCCTGTAAAAACACACACACTATGCAAACTATAGCAACAAAACCTAGTGTGGGGAGGCTGTGGTCCTACACTATTCAGGGGGGTGTACAGGGTTAGCATACATACTTGGATAATTCTAAAATTTACATTCTATACTATAGAAACTTGTTTTTTATAAATGAGGCTACCAAAGCTGTTATGATGAAGTAGAATTTTTAATCATTGTCTCCAGTTTTTTTTCTGTTCTGCACTGTTGATTACTTAGTAAAAGTAATACTCTTCCATTGTTTTGAGATGTAGGATGAAATAATGTTACTATTACAATAATCTTTCTTTTTTTAAAAAATTTATTTTTGTTGTTTTCTAGGTGTAGATGGATGTGTGAGTAGCATAACGGTTAGTAACTTGGAGAGAGAAATTGTGAGTCAAGTTCAAATCCTAACAAAGTTTGTTATGTTTACTTTTGCATAAATACCTTTGAGAAAGGTATGAATCCATTTATTCTTCTCCCCATTTATGGGTTAAATAACAAGATTGGTTGGGCTCTCTTGCCTTAAGGTGGCAACCAATTTAAGAGAATGAAAACTCATTGTCCCATGGGACAATAACCTAGTGGATTAACATGTTGGTTTGTGAATTTGGTGACATAATCATTGAGAGTTCAAAAATGGGACATGTAATAACTGTGCAGTACTAAATAAGAACTAGACAAGATATCTCTAGATATGGACAGTTGAATGGGAACACTCAACTGCCATAGAATAAATAAAGGGTTCCATCTGAAATTCCCTGTAGTTTACCTGGATCAACATATACCTGATGAAGGCTGGAGGGCAAAAATGACTGAAAAGTTGTAATTAATAACAAAAATGAGGACAATAGTCTGCATGTAAATAAAGTAAATAAGGAAAACTGAATATTCACAGTCAGCCTCAAGAGGGATAGTTTTCTTCAGGCTATCTTGCCCTAGACACACCACTGTTGCTATGGCAGCAGTACATGTGGTCTCCTAATGGGTTATGGGACTTGTGATGTGACATTCTTTGGCTGTTTATATTGAATTTTTAAAATTCAGTTTGATGATCAAAAAATAGATCGACTTGAAAAAACAAAAGAACAAACCAATATAAAAAAACCCAAAAGTCTGTAAAACAACAAAAACAGAGGAAAGAAAACTCAAAACATCTGTACTGATCAAAATAACTGATTCTGAAAGGTATTTCCTGAATCAAATTTTCTTGTTTCAGTTTGTCATGATACAAATACCAAGTTTAATATTTCAGTCATTTCTTAGTATTTATGTGTGTTGCATCCAAGAATCACCTTGGTTGAATCACAAAAGAATGGCAAATATTTTTAAAATATTTAGTTGACTTAATTTCATTGATGTTTAAATCAATAAAGATACAAATGAAATATAAGCACAATGCTATTTAAATAAACAATTATCTAAACGATTTCAGCTGTACCCACTGAATTTGAATATTGTTGGTATACTGAAATATAAACAGAAAAAAAAATATGAAACTTACCTTTGAAGTTTTTTGAATAGATTGTACATAAAATTATTAGCTGATGCTGGACTAAAAAAAAAAAAGAAATATTTGTGAATGGGAAAATTAACAACATTAAGTTGCATCAAACAAAAATATATAATTAAGATGGAAAAAATAATAATTAATGCTCCCAGAAAAATAGTTAATGTCCCCTAAAAAAAGAAATGAATAGTTAACCAATGTCCTGCAAAAAATTGTTACAATAAATAAGATTATTATTTGTGTTCATTTACAATTTGAAAAAAAAAAAAAAAAATTCTCTACTGATTTTAAAATTTATTTTGTTAATTTTATCAGTGCATATTATTTAAATGAATATGATAAAGTATGTCTACTGAGAGGGTTTTTTTAGACTAGTATCTCCATCTTTTCTGTTCATTCCCTTACAACAGATTCACAATCTGAACTTTCAAAATGAATTAAAATTGCATGAATTCAGTATGTTGGCTTCAAATAAGATCTGAACTCTTAGTTGTAGTTATAAAGCTAACCAGACAGCAAATATGATATCATGATCACAAGTTGCATAACTCATTAGAGTTATAGGGGCACCACATGTACTGCAGCCTCAGTTGAAATGGTGTGTCTTGGGCAAAAAAGCCTTACAGAGCTCAACTATCTCAAGGCTGGTTTGAATTTAGAGTTTTCCCTCTACAAGACCAATTGCAACCCAAGGTTTATAGAACCTAGTCTGTCCTGCTATTTACTCATAGTTGGTGTAGGGAGATGAGATGTATTCATACTTTTCTCAAGGGTATTCGCATGTAAGTTGTTATGGGGTCCACCCTTTTCGGATATAATGGACTCGTCCTGCTGTCATAAAATAGCCACAGTCAGGCAGAGAAGATGAGTCGTACAATGTCGGATAGAGTGAAGTAACCTCTTGTAGAAGTCAGTTACAAGCACGTAGACTCTAAGGAAGTCCTACTTCGAGACTGTATATATCTATCTGTATTTGCTACTAACCGTGTTCCTGGATTTTACTAACAGCATTACCTTTTGTATTTTGTGTAAATACATTTAATTTCTTAGCTTAAATACTTGCGTTTGTCATTTATTGGATACCTATTTTTCACACGGGATCCACAATATAAGTGAATGTAAATAATTTGACTGGAATTTTGACTTAGCTCTCTGATTCCACAATCCAAGCTGTAATCCATTACTTCACTGTGCTTACAATATAGGAGCTGATAATAAAAAGGAAATACAAATAACAGCAAATCTTCAACAGCAGCTGTAATTAAATGGAACAGCTTCAGTAAGTACATTCAAGCATGACCAGCAGTAGCCACACTTATCAGCAGGCAGGTTAGGTTTAAGGATGCAAAGACTTTAGGAGAAGGAACCAGAAACCCAATCTTAACCAGGAAACAAAGGATAAACCTCTACTCCTGTTTAATCTACAGAGAATTTCGAAATGAGCCCTTTATTTAACCTACAGAGGTAGACTGTTCTCATTCCACTGCCCATGTCTAAGGATATCTTGTCTAGTTCTTATTTTTAGTACTGTTCAGTTAGTGCTCACCCTGTTTCCATTGAATCCAAGTATACACTGCCTGACCCAGTGTATACTCACAATTACTATGCCACCAAATTATAGAACCAACACTGTAATCCACTAGGATATTGTTTGTACATGCACTCAGTAGAAACAGGGTGAGCAATAACTGAGCAGTCCTAAAAATAAGAACTAGACAAGATATCCTTAGACATGGGTAGTGGAACGAGAACAGTCTATCCCCACAAATGAAATAAAGGGTTCAGTTCAAAATTCTCTGTAGGTTACCCAGATCGATATACACTTGATAAAGGCCAGAGAGTGCAGGAACCAAAATATTGTGATAACAACAAAGATAAGGACAATTGTTGGATTGTAAATAGTGTAAATAATGATAAATCCTCATCCTAGAAATTCAGACAGCTTCTATGAAATTTTAATTCTAGTTTCGGTTGCAAGAACATAGCATAAAGTTTGTTGCTAAAAAGAAAAATTATTTTTGAATATTTAAAACAGGTTTTAGAAAAATGTTATTATTTACTTGTAATTAAAACCAAAATTAAAATTTTAAAGACTATATTAAATTACTGCATTACATTTTTTATATTTAAAAAAAGTATAAAGATCATAGCTAACACAAGCATGCAGTGCCAATAAAATGTACTTAAAGTAAAAAATATACTTACTTATAGAGTTGACATATTTGACGAAATGAGAATGTTTCTTCCATCATAACATCAGAAGAAAAAGCGTTGATACGAACTGAAAAAAAGGAAATAAAGTTGATTTGTAATAAACATTTCCAGTCTGTTTTTTTTAAAAAAACTCTTTTTAAAAGTTTTTTAAAAGTTAATATTTTTCAAGGAACTCATGTAATAGAAAAATATACTTTTTATCGACTCAAGAATTGTAATGGTTGCTGAAGATCCAGTATATGTGTCACCAGGCTTAAAGACCTTGTTACTTAGTTGTAGCATAGTAGTGATAGTAATAGTGTTAAAATTATAATAATTTTTAGTGCTCAATAAAATCTAAAAATAGACGTTTATCTCTTATATACATAGATATGTCTAACTAATTTTCTGCAAGCTGGCTACCATATGACACTTAAAGGGTAAGGAAGCAACCCTGTTTTTCTTTTTCCCTACTGTCAGTTGATCCAATGCTACGTGGTAATTATTAGGTCCTACTATCACCTCCTAAAATTCTGATCCCTTGTGCCTTCTGTTTCCCTTGAAATATTATAATTATTGTCATCATTAATATTCCTTACATTCAAATGTATGGTGTCCTTCCTAAATAAGAAGATAACATCATTATGAAGTTTGAATGTTTTTTTGAGACATGTGTGTAGTTACAAGAATTACAAATATTTAGAAATGTTCCTTAAACCATGAATAATGGTAACTTTTAAAATTGTCCACATAAATATACTATTATGTAACAGTGATATTGATATTTACTGAGAACAATGGGAAAAGATATTTAGGGGTTGATTGCCCAACTTTATTTATAGAATAGAGTGAGGAAGAGATTTTGAACCAGAGCCATCAAAATCAAACTTTTTCTTTATTTCAATTTGTCTAGGTCCATCAAAAGATAAGATTTAATTATTTCAAAACAGCTGACAACTCTGAGCAGTATACATTAAAACACACATAGTTCTAGAGGTATTTGAAAGGCAGACAAGTTCCCCTGGTTGCATTTATGCATACTTGAGTTACAAATAGAATAAAAGGGGTGGATGAAATTTTTATTTAATTAAGTATAAAGCTCTATCCACAAAAGACACCTCCATGTCTACTGATAGCTAATCTCAAAGTAGTTCACCTTCACTAGCCTGCATTCTTCTTCATCCATAGTGACATATCAGTAATTAAAATATATTATAAAAGAAGATCTGATTTTCTGTCCATCACACACTGTCTGTATGTGACTTTTAATGCATGTATGTAATGTATATACATATGTCAGTGTTGTGTGTGAATGACTTACATGTGCTTGTGTCATTTAATGTACACACACACACACAAACTGTACGAGATTGAAGTAAGATATTGGAATAATACATTCCCCTCCCATTCAGTCTTAATCACCCCTAATCTGGGCTGAAAAATAAAATCATAAAGTTAGAAGCAAGAAAAAAAAACTTAAACCCTAAAAAACTTTGCAGAAATTACTTAAAAAAAATTTTTTTTTAAAGCTTTTTTTAAAAAGTTTTGTAGGAATATTTTAAAGTCTGCCATTGAATTAAAATATACATAAACACACATGCAAAGACATGGTAGTGGGAAAGTGACTGAAGTTGAGATGCCAGGTCAGGACCAATAACATTACAGACCATTCTTTGGATTTTGTTGAAAATCTTAAGATAAGGAGCACCTGATTAGATATGACAATATTCAGTGCACAAACAAATGGTAGATTTATAAATGTGCAAAATAGATTCTGACAAGAAAAATTGTCTTACATGACACAGTAAACACACATTCCTAGCAGTAGACCTAGCAATTGGTTCAGTAGAATCACTCCACTTTATGTCAGTAGAGAACATAAGACTAAGAAAGTGCAATGAGTTGCTCTTCTGGATTTTAGCATCAGTGATGCAGAAGTTAAAAATGGCTCTCTATGACAATTAAAAGATAGCAGTTTCATTTTGGAGACGTAAAAATTTACAAGCCATTTTTTGTCCCAGTTAAAAACTGATAATCAGAATTATTGGAATTAATATTAAGATAGAAGCAAATAATTGTCTCATTATCATAAATACAAAGTTGGGAAATGATGATAAGAAATAATGTAGATCTAAAGACATATTTATTTCTTCTTAACAAATCATGTAATAAAAGTCATTCTAGATTCTTCTAGATCCTTACACATTAATTTTTCTAGATCCTTACACATTAATGCAATGTTTCCCTGTTTATTACATGATTTATTAAAAAAATATAAATCAAGTCAAATATTTGGTCAAAGACACCATAGCCCTTAAGCTTGTAAAGCAGGCCAGCATGTCAAAGCCTGACAAACGGCTTTGAGATATTTAAAGACACTCTTGGCTTTGTCATTCTTATCTAAACTGTAAAAATAGTTTGCTCATCATTTCACAATGTGGATTCTGTTCATTTTATTTCAATACATTCAGAATTGCACAATTAATACAGAAAATAAACATTTTTTTTTGTTTTTACTTCTGTTAATGGAACAATTATGCCTGATGAGTGAGGATATCCACATTTGGCTGGCATCACTTATAGTTGTTTGTTCATGACCAAATCCCACTTGGTATTCCAATTTAGGCATCAGGTATACAAATTCTTTATTCTGAAAGAAAAATGAGAAGAATAACAGGATTAAGATAAGCTGTGTTTTTCTGAGAACAACACAAGATGTTAAATTGAAATTTGGTTTTACAGAGGTAGCACCTCTTTTAATCAGGACAAAATAAAGAGTAAATATTTGAATTTCACAAAACTAATTCATGAAGTGATGTAGCAATATGAGTTAACTGAGGTCTTGTTAAATTGAAAACAGCAGGACCTGTCACAAAAATGGATATGGAACATTTACTTTTGAATGATGGAAGTGAAGTCAACATCAGAACAAGAAGCTCAGACTGAAAGAAAGTCATGGAAGGAAGATAAATTACTTTTTTAGATAAAGATGACAAAGAAAATTGTTATCTATAAAACTGACCATTCTGCAAAAAGGCACACAAAAGAGATGAAGTGGACCTCAGAGAACAAACTGGGTAGAAAGCTGCTGGACTGTACACCTAAACCCCCTCACCTACGCCTCATCTGTACTTTGCTCACTTATAGTAGTAAGTTAAAACCCAAGAATAAAATCTGGCTTACTGCTAAAAATTGTTTTGTTTTTCACTTGTGGGTAACAATCTGGCCAAAGGATAATTTTTAAGCCACAAGCATTTGACTGAAAGAAATTGCAGCCAGTCAACAAACCTGGGTCTGAGCTGCAATGCAATAGTAGCATTGTATATAAGAATGATTTAATATGTTTTGTTTCTAACAGACAATGATGCTGTATACAAGAGATGTATAATTAGTAGGTCAGAGGTAAATTATTGAATTGTTCTTAGAGAAGGCATTTTCACTAATAATCTGCTTCTTATTGAAATGTTTTATATTCCCTGACAAGTAAGCAGCATTGATTTGGATGAATAAAGCAAATTTAATGTTTGTCAAATCTGAACAAAAATATGATGAGCTGTTTCATAGAACAATCTTTCAATACACCAAAGCTGACTGGGATAGCTTCAGATGGTGAAAGGACCTCTTTCAGAATTCATCAAAAATAGGGCTTCTGGAATTGTCACTTGCATCTGTGAATAAATCCTTTCTTGCATGAAAGGTCTCGTGTATGTCCAGTTCCCAAGAATGAAGGTGAGCACTTATCTCTGTTGCAATATTGTGTCATTAGCACATTGTTTGAGGCTATCATCATCAAGAAGGTTGTTGATCCTTTCAACAGGTGTAGCCTCCTAAGTGACAAACAATATGGGTTTTTTTGCTACTAGGTCCACTACAGATATCCTGTCATTATGCACAGAATTGACATTAGACAATAAATATATGAGGACAATTTCTTTACATATATAGAAGGCCTTTGACTGGCATAAGCAGTTTCTACACAAGCTATGGAATCACTAGAAGAGTTTTCTCAATTATCAAGACCTTCCTAACAGGGAGGTCCATGGAGGTAGTTGTCCTCTCAGGCCCATGACATTAATACAGGCATCTGCCAAGGCTCATTTCTTGGTCCAATCCTCTTTGTTTTATATTAATGGTCTGCCTAAGAGCATACTCCAATCTCCAGGGAATATCTTTGGAGATGATAAAGTGTTATATCCTCTTTCTGTTTTATATTAATGGTCTGCCTAAGAGCATACTCCAATTTTCAGGGAATATCTTTGGAGATGATAAAGTGTTATATGGTTGCACCTCTAAAAATTTAGATGACTAGAGCCTGGCAAATGATCTTTCCTCTGACCTACCTCTAACAGCTCAATGGGGGAAAAACTAGCTTGTCACATTCAATATTTCAAAAATCAAACTAGTAAGATTAAATCATCACCAAATAAACCTTGAATCTTCTGTTATTGAATAGGTGTTCTCTCCAGGAGATTCTTTGCCTTGAATGCCTATTAGGACTTAAGCTCACCCCAGATCTCAAGTGGAACTTATGATCAATTCCTAAAGATGCTGGGAAAATGGTTGATTCCTTGTACCACTCTAGTAAGTACCTGGCTCTTGCTAGGCTTTACATTTACAAGAGCCAAATCAGACCGTACATGGGCTGGAGATACTCAGCTTTCACTTTTTAGTCTTGATAGAATTCAAAAAGTGTCTATATGACCTTGTGAGTAATGAATTATTTTCCACCCTACAACCTCTTTCCCCAAGTTGAAATATTGCAAGCCTCTCACTACTATCATGAGCTACATTACTTACTTTCACCAATCCTAACCCTCACTACTAGGACCCACCATGCCACATACACTGAATTGAACCAGTCTTTGTATTCTGTTAGTAAGAAGGAAGTTTCAATCGAACAGCTACTTTATGGAACTGATTCCCAAGAGGATGCTTTCCTATTACAAACTTAACCTCTTCAAGTCAAGGGTTAACCATTATCTTTCCCACATATTCTTATAAATGGTGCTTCTTACCTCTTATTGCTTTTACAACAACCTCCTTTAGTAAGCTTCTACTATGTGTGGCTCTTGGGCCTTGTATAGGGTGAACATTAGCAAAATATATAAACAGTGGGTCCTTGACTTATGACAGAGTTCTGTTCCCATGATCCATTGTAATGCAATTTTCCATATAAGTCATGCCCATAATTTTCCTTCCATGGTGATGGCTCTTCCACCAGAAGATGTTATACTAGGCTTGGGAGCTTCCACAAACACAACACAAATAAAAGCGAGTGAATGCACAACAATCCAGTATGGTGTATAACTAGGAAACAAGAGTAATGGTGATTGAATTGTAAACACAAATTGGCATAAGCTTGGGCTGCTGTAACCCAGTGACTTACTATATATACATATATCTGAAATGCTTCCTGTTATGTTGGCCCATGATGTGGGAGGTGGCTGAAGTTGAATGTTTCTGCCAATAACCGATAATAATTTTTATTTACCTTATTACAGATCGCAATCTGGCAAAATGATGTTCGATATCAAAGTTAATATGAAACCAATCTATGTCATGTGGGAAAAATTGCACTGACTGAAATTCTCTTACATTTGCTGAATAGTTATGGAGATGAAATAGAAGATGTGAGCACAGTTAGGCAGTAGTTTCAACAGTTTTGACTGCAGTGCATGTTAACAGCTATATTCTGAGCATGGCATGCAGGCAAATATGTTTAGAAATTGAGGAAGATAAAAAGGCTTAACTACTGTTTACCAGGTTCACTGTTCTGGAGGAAGAAAACAATTTGAATAAAATAGTTGACTAAATGGAATTGATAAACATATGTACAGTGCTGATAATTATGGTGGCAAAGAATGAATTCAATGAAAACATAAGAATAACAGCAAATAATTTAAATCTCACCTATTATTGTGTTCAATCTGTCTTCAATAAGCAATTTAACCTAATTAAAATTAACAGTAGATAAAGTTGTGACAATGAGGTGAGGTGTATTTGTCAAAATATTGTGATGAGAGAGCATTACTACTTTAGGCAATTAAACTTATTCAATTTACTTGTTGCCTACCTCCAGGACTATGGGCCTGGTAAATGGTAGTCAAGCTGAAAAATAAATTGATTACATTTTGTTTGGCAAAAGTTACACAAGCCATAAATATTAACAGTAAATTGATAGAAGATTCTGAGTTGGCTAAAATAGAGTAAATAAAAAAATTCTAACTCAAACTAACAGACAATTGTATCTACTTACTTGACACAATGAGACATTAGTGCACTTACTTTTTTTTTCTTCTTGACAGCACTGTATTTGCATCGTACCAAAAGGCGGAGATCACCAAAATTCCAAATGCAGTAAGTAACATTTTTTCCTTTTCCAGGTTTTAGATAATCTTCGGGATTTTCATCAAATTTAATTTCTTTGGAGGATAATATAAAATAGAAAAAAGAAAACAAGATAATGAAAAAGTTATACATTGTTTTAAAGATTAAAATCATGATATATATCAATATTAACAAACATGGAATTGAGTCTAATTTTTTTTTTTTATTGATTGATGTGTTTTTTACGGCTTATCAATCCTTTGCAGGTTATTTAAAGCCAGAAAATATTTTTAAGTTGTAAGAATATTTTTTTGAGATAATAATGGTTTACTGATAAAATTCTTAATAATAGCTCTTGGGGGAAAACATCTTTTCCCAAGCATATTTGTGTGTAAGTGAATATAATGAACCCAGCAGGAATTGGAACTTGGCTCTCTGATTAACAATATCCATTACACCATACACACATCCAAGCTTATATCATTTGGTATTCCCAAGTGGTCACCACTGCTGGATTTAAGACAAATGAGGCCCTGTGCTTGTAAAGTTATGAGGCTCCTTACTTGGATCCTGAAGAACATATGCCTGGCATGCCTACACAGGCATGGAAAGAAGATGGGGCCCGCCTGGCCAATGGGACCCTGTGCTTAAATACACCTAAGCACAATAGTAAATCTGGCACTGGTGGTTACTGACCTAGGTACTGACCAGGCTTGATGTTGCTTAACTTCGGTGGTCATGTAGGAACCAGTGTTTCAATGTGATGTGGCTGTAAGCTCAAGTTTATTTCACATTGTTCAACATTAAATATATTTATAAACAAATATATTTAACATTGAACAATCTCAAATAAACTATATTCCATATTTGCCAATATTTAAGTATATCTACAATAGAAGTGAAACCATTAATAGAATGAAATTGGTCAACAGAGTTAAACTATGTCTGAGTTAATTTGTATTCATTTCACACTGATGCACATGGGAAAACCTTTTCTCCCTCCAATTATAGGTAGCTGGGCTGTTGAATCCCCTTACTTCTTTAAAAGCAATACTCAATATGGAGTATTCAATAATAGGTCAGGTCAGGAATTGTTCCATGTTGCTACTATCATGTAACCTAGTATGACCTGCTGCATTTTACTTAGAGAGGAGACAGGCACAGCCAAGCAACCATCATTGCTCTGAGAGATGCCATGAATGGGAATTGCTTGACACTATAAAAGGTCATGTGAGATGTACATATCCACTATATATGTTAAATCATGACTATTTTTGCAGAAAGAAAATGGATGTTGACTTATATGTGGGTAAAGGTTTCCTGCCATTTAATGATGGAAAAAAAACATCTATAAATTAATAATGAAAATCTATTTATTAGATTGTTTATTGGAATGGTTGGCAAAACATGGCTCATTGCTAATTGATTCAAACTTTATAAAATGATAAATAATAAGGATTTCCTTATAGTTGATTCACATATTTTAATAATTTAGTAAATGTTTATAAATTATTTTCATATTTATTTCCTTATAAATTGGAAAATGATAAATATTGCATTACATTAGATCTAATACAATTGGATTAGTTTTTAGAATGTTGTAAATATAAAATTATTCTTGTGAATAAACAATCTAATAAATATTAATATTTTTGTTGTAAATTCACAATACCAAAAAAATATATAAATTCACTTTCTTGATAGGTTTTATTACAATTCTTAACACTTTTTAAAACAATAAACATTGTCAAGGAGTGAAGGTAGTTAAAATAATAGTGGTGTCAAGGAAAAACCTTTTTTTATAGGTATGAAAGTTAAAGATTGGCAAAATTTTTTTTCATTTATAAATGATGAATATCATATAAAAAATAGTAATATATTAATAGTTATTTATTTCCAGAAGAATCTGGGTCCCTTTGTGCAGTAGGCCTTTCCCAGTTTTTGTCACAGGGATGCAGATAGGAATCAAAACATGATATAGTAAAAAAACTGAGGGCCACAGTTGTATGATGATGCCCAATATGAAATTCATTAGAGTAAAAAGTGATGAATTGAATTGTCACTCACCAGGAAGGATGTTGTCGGAATGCTTGACTGTACTTTCATTGTTCATTTTGGAAATGGTAGCAGCAGCTTTTGTTTCTATGCTTGCAGGTTTAATTCTATTGGTTGCCTTCAGTAATTCTTCCTGTTTCTCTAAGATACTATCCAAAGGTCCAAACTCAAATGCTGCATGGTGCTTTCTTTTCTTTGACAGACTGGTATTGTCAACATCTGTGAGGAAACAGACAGTTGAGTTTCAAAGACCTCAGAGGACACATATGCAAAAAATACTCCAGAAAACTGCATCATGTTTTAGGATCAAAGTGTTACATTTTTAACTTTTGTCAAAAATATAAATTTAACATTAATTAACAATAATTTCCCTAACCACATAACATGGCATTCTTTACTAAGGGCCATGTTATAGAGTAATTAATCAAATTTCATTATTTCACTGGGAGTCTAGATTTTTAGTTTTGGTTTGGGTAGTTTGCTGCTATTGTTGGTTTAAGAAATTAAAGAAAACTTTTACTTGTACACTTGGAATAACTTTAACTTATTTATTTAAAACAAATATAAAATTTATTTATTTTATTTCCTTTTGGACTTTCTATATTATTCTATGTTGTCATTGCAAAAAACATTTTTGTGTGAAATTCACTAAAAAATAAAGTAATTTAGGAAACTTTGTCTTGTGACATGGAAATAAATTTACCATTTTTTACTTATTTAAGATACTTCTTTATGATATTTTTATTCATAAAAGCAAATACACTAATGAACAACTTTTGTGGGAGTAATCTGTATTGGTTTCTAACAAATGAAAAAAGCTATGTTGAATTTTTACCATGCTTGCTATACCAAAAAATAACATTTTAATTTTACGTGATTTAATGAAATAATTTATTAATAATATTTTTCTAGTTTTTCTTATTACAAATGTTACAAAGTCTCTCCAAAGAAAGTTAATTTTAATAATGCTTTCTGTAATTCTTAACACTTTTCTTCCAAAGATATTTTCTTCGATTCTGTTTTTTATACTGTACAATTTATTTAAAAATGCTATAATTTGTTAAATAAAATGAATTTAATATTTCTTTCTATGATATTGTTATTCATAATGACAAATATATTGATGATAAAATTTAATTTTTTATGAGTAATTTCTATTTTTCTTTCTGAAAGCAATTTAAAAAATTATATTAAATTTTAGTTTAATTTATTGTTAAAAACAAAACAAGAGCAAACAATATTTTATACACCAAAATTAATGAAAAATCATTTATTAAGAACATTGTTATGCAAAGTTAAAATTATAATAAAATTCAATGAATTTAATCTGATATTTTTAGATATTGTAAACAAGGCATACAAACCATTAACCCTAACCATGCTGTTAAACAATGAATTTTAAGACTCAATTTTTTCCACTTCTGTAATCATAAAAATTTATGACAAAATAACTCAGCATAACACTAGTTACTTTATTTCTAAGCAATAAAATAAAAACTTACTGTCATGTTTATTGTTCTTGTCATATTTTTCATCTAGAATTCATATTTCTGATATGGTTTTTGTTTCATTAATTCTTTCTTAACGTGAATAATTAATTCAAAGATTAAAATGCATATAACGTTTCGTACACCCTTGTTAATATGTTAGAAAGTGAAACTGCACCAAATTATAATTGTAAAACCTTAATAAAAAAAATATACCAAAATAAAGAGAAATAATTTTTTGAGCCAAATTAATTCTACTCTTAATCTCTACTTTTTTCTTTGAATTTCTTAAGCTGTCTACAGCAGGGAACTACTGCAAATCCAAACTGAGATTAAAAATCCTTGCTTCCAGTAGAAGAATGAGATTTCGGATAGGCCTTCAGTTCTGGGCAAGAGATGCACTGTAACTTGGCCTTTAGTAAAGAATGCCATGCTACATAATCAATAAAAAAATTAAATTAACATTAAAAAATAAACAATACAAATAAAAATAATGCAAAAAATGCTATTAAACAATTATTATTTTTGTAAAATTATTTGCTGTGATCACAAACAGGATGAAAGAAATTTAAGCAATCTCATGCACATCAACTAATGACAAAAATAAATCAATTAAAATTATCATTTATTACAAAATCACACACAAAAAACTAAAAACTTTCAACATTAATACCAATGGAAAAAAAAAAAAAATATCCAACACATTAATGTTGTCTATTGTAGGGATACAAAATGCGATTATCTCACTTTGGTTGAGACAAAGTCACAGGAGCCATGTGATGGCCACTTAGTGATGGCCCTTCATAGAGTGATTAAAGTAGTCAGTCAGCTTCCAGTAATCAAACAGAGCATTCAATTTTTTTAGCATGGGCTAAGACTAAATCTGCCCTGCCTGGGCAAGCTGCCAAAGGATCAGCTCACAAGCCCATGCCTTTTTCTTTTGGAAATATATCTTCACCAGATATAGAAACTATCTCTGGCTCATAGTCCTCATGTTGGGAACAACCTGTGACTCACTGTTTCCTGTTTAAGGAATATGTTCTCGCTAGTGACATGGAAGATGAATGCAACCTGCTCGAATCTCTGTTGGGAATCCTAAATATGGCTTCTCCAGAAACATAGAAGAATCCTCAGGCAGCTTAAATTCTTGTTGAAAATTATTACAAATAAGATCAACTATCTTTTTTTCCATTTACACACTGCTTATGGTATACATGTGTGGGACAAATGTAAATATGTGTATATAATTTTGTGTATGACTTAGCAGTATAAAACTCTCTCTGAGAACACAGCATGATTGTCATTCCTTTTCTTTCAGCTATTCTGTTCCATCCGTATATTAAGGTGTTATTATAACATAAATCTAATAATGCTCATAATGGGGAAATGAAAATGGGGAAATATTAATTTCTTCCATAGATCACCAATTATCTGGTGATTTACCTAATACAATATGTGACATTAACCCCTATTATTATGGATTCAAATGCCAAACTGGAGAATGCTTTTTTAATAATAATTCAAATGCCTACATTGGTTTCACTACTGCAACCTTGTTTAACATGCCACTTATCTATAGATACTGCCACTAAAACAAATATCAACCAACACAAAGGAAAACCAGAACACAAAATCATACAAATCCTTAATACACAAGGGTGCTATACCACATAAACTGCAACAAGTAACTGCAATTGCTCAAGGCATTGAGCATAAAAAGAAAGCAACCAAATATAAACAAAATTACATCAAACTTCAGACCCAGCATACTAAATATGTTTTCTAAAAAAAAAAAAAAAGTAGACAGTACAAACTCCTACATGTAAATGTGATATTTAAAAAAATTACACTGATGACACAACTAATGAAAAATCATTGAAAATGGCTAGTGTTAGCTGAAAGTGTTTAGCCATGGGAAGAGATATTTACAAATACAAACTTGAAATCACAAAAATGATTAGAAATATTGAAAATGTTACTAAAAAATAATATACAGGGAACTTCTGTTGTTTGTTTAATCAAATATACATAAATGAAAAATTGCGGCCCAAATGTATCTATATATATATATATATATATATATGAGTGTGTTTAACAAATTTTTGTAACCAACTATTATTAGTAAATGAATTAAATAAATTGTCTTATCTATTTTTCTGACATGAGGCATTGTAACTACAGTGGTATCTTGGTTGTCAAATGGCTCCCTTTTCGAACAAATTGGTTGTCGAATAAAATTTTGAAGCAAAAATTGTCCCGTTTGTCACACCATAACTTGGTTGGTGAACAAGCCAACAACAACACGTGGACAGCATGTAATCACAGAGTGACTGAGTGTGTGATGTGATTGGCACCAGTCTTGCTTCAGCCCACACTCAGAGTATACATGCTAAGAACTGTCGCCTGATTTTGCCGGTATATCTTATGTTGTACATTAATTCTTCTATTTTTTTTACAGTATTCCATAAGCCACCATAGGACCTAAGAAAGCGAGTGAAAGTGGAAAGGCAGAAAGAAAAATATTGAGAACAACAATAGAAGTGAAGAAAGAGATTATATGAAAGCATGCGGATGGCGTTTGTGTTTCAGATTTGGCTTTACAGTATGGCTTAACAAATTCGTCGATTTGTACCATCCTTAAGAAAAAGGAAACAAGAAAAGAAGCTAAGGTTGCCCAAGGAGTGACTGTGATCACCAAGCAAAGATCTCAGACATTAGAAGAAGTGGAAAAGTTTCTACTGATTTGGATCAACGAAAAGTAGTTGGCTGGCGACAGTATTTCAGAGACAATAATTTGTGAGAAAGCAAAATATTTGCATCAGGATATGCTCAAGAAAACCCCAGGTACAAATTCTGAGAATGATGTGCTTAAGGATAGTCAAACGAGTCTGGTTTGAAAAGTTTAAGAAATGAAGTGGCATACACAGTGTGGCTCATGGAGAGGATGCAAGTGCTAACAAAAAAGATGCAGAAGAGTTTGTGAAAGAGTCTGGTGCATATGAGAATGCTGAGGGTTTTATCCCTCAGCAAGTGTTTAATTGTGATGAAACTGGACTGTTTTGGAAGAAAATGCTTAAAAGAAGATACATAACCCAGGAGGAATAGGTTTTGCCTGGACCCAAGCCTATGAAGGACAGGCTAACTCTTTTGCTTCGTGGCAATTCTAGCATTGATTTTCAGGTGTAGCCAATGCTTGTGTATTGTTTAAAGAACCTCTGTGTGTTTAAGAAAAACAATGTTATGAAAAGCAAGTTGCCCATCATGTGGAGGGCTAACAGGCCTGGGTGACCAGATAGTTCTTCCTGGAATGGATCCATGAAGCTTTCGCTTCCCAGTGTGAGGGATTACCTTAATAAAAATAACTTAACTGGAGCACTGTCCAGCAACAGCAGGACAGTACTCCTGCCCACCCCATAGACATGGCAGCTGAGTTACTGAAGAGTTTGACCATCACCATGAAGTTTCTGCCTCCTAATAGGACTCCACTGATTCAGCCACTGAACCAATAGGTCATTTCTAACTTTAAGAAGTTATACACCAAAGCTCTTTTTCAAAGGTGGTTTGAAGTTACCTCGGACACAGAGTTAACTCTCCGTGACTTTTGGAAGAGCCACTTCAATATCCGGCATTGCTTAAAATCTTATTGACAACGCCTGGCAGCAACTAACTCACAGGACCTTGAACTCAGCCTGGAAGAAATTCTGGCCTGACTGTGTTGCAGAGAGTGTTTTTGAGGGATTTGAGACATAGCCTACTGAAGTTGTTGATGACATCGTGTCTCTGAGCATAAGCATGGGCCTGGAAGTCAACAATGATGACATTGAAGTGCTGGTGGAGGAACACAGCACTGAGTTGTCTACTGAAGAACTCAAACTCCTTCAAAAGAAACAGGAGAAAGAGGTGCTTGAGGAGATATCATTGGAGGAAGAGGAGGGAAGGGGGAATGTGCCTAGTTCTCTTATTAAAGAAATGTGTGCAAAATGAGGTGAAGTGGAAAATTTTGTTGAAATGTATCACCCTGACAAAGAAATAGCAAGCCATGTCAGTAATATTTTCAATGACAGTGCTATATCTCACTTCCATAACATTGTGAACAGAGGTGAGATATAGCATTGTCATTGAAAAGGTTACTGTGAAGCAGAAGCAAGTTTCAATAGAAAGGTTTTTGGTGAAAAAGAGGCCTAGTGAGTCCCAGGCAAAACTTGCTAGCAAGAAAACAGAAAATCCAGGAGGTGGTGGACTCCCCTTTCAAACAATATTCATCCCTTCCCTCCTACCTCCTCTCCACCTTCTACTTGTGACAATCAAGACTCCTCAGCACAGGTAAGGATGAATAAAATTGCCTTTCTTATTTATATGCAGCTTCATTCAGTGGTGTTTATCTTTTCTCAGATCTAATGATTTTCATTGGTTTTGTGTATGAACTTGTATAAAAAATATTGTTGAAAAAGTTTGAATAAGTAATCATCTGTGGTCCAGGAACAGATTAATCCATTTTACTTTGATCCCTATGGGAAAATTGTTTCAGTTTTTGAACTTTTTGGTTCATGAATAGCCTTCAGGAACAAATTAAGTTTGAAAACCGAGGTTCCACTCATTGTTCAGACAGTTGTCCTCATCATTATTATTGTATTCATGCCATTTCGGACGTTGCATGCTCTGGCCTTCCTCAAGGACACATGGCCCACTGGACAAAAGCATTGGTTGAAGTAATCCAGTGACTTTACCCAAAAAGTTGTGAATTCAATACCTGGTCATAGGTGAACCAAAACTTGGAGAGTTGAATTACTAAATGGAAATAACTAAAACTGAGATATCCAGAAAAGGCATGGCACGTGGAACTAGAACAATCTACCTCAGTGGACTAAATAAAGGATTCGGTTTGAAATTTCAAGTATATCACCTGAAGAAGGCCAGAGTGTACAATGCCCAAAACATTGTGAATATAACAATAAAGATGAGTATAACAGTCTAAACAATGTAAATAGTCTAAATAAATAGAACTGACAAGAAAAAAGGCATCTGTGGCAAATTGTGAAATCTTCAAGTTAAATGGAGATTAATCAATCATTAATACAGTGCTTTTTTAACTTTCATATTTCTAGAGAATGAAAATTAAGAAGTTAATCAGTTTAATTAAAGGTACCCAATTCAAAGTTCTTCTAAACTATTGTCATGTCCACTAAAATATCAACTATAATAAACCAATCAGACTCAAGAAAACACTTACATCTTAAAACATACCAATAAAATCATAGATTACAAATCAGAATGTTTGTTGTATTAGTCATAATTATTTTTAGGTAGATACCGACCAAATATCGTACGGATGTAGTAGAAGACATACCATGTGACTTCTTAGGGCCAATTAGAAATAAATAAATAATTTAATTCTGGAGCTGATATTGTTTGGAAAAAGTGTATAAAAACATACGAAATCTGTTCCCAAAACAATATACACGCGGCTGCCACCAAATTCCACACACCTCTCGCTGATGACCTTCATGACCTCATGTTAAAAACGACAGCGTTGACAAACTCCAGATCACGGCAACACCGCCAATAGTAAGAAACAATTCATATCTCTTGTATCCGTTTTTACTATGTATCACGCACACACATGTTGACTTTTTCATACAAACACACATATCACAACATTTTATTGTTTCTCACACAGGTACACAAAGACAGTTTATATTTTATTTCAGAACTTTATCAACCCAAACAAAAGACATTACTTTCCAACTTTTTGTATTCCTATCGTTATATTAAATCAATGTTTATTTGTTGAAACTACGTTGTCTTTTCTACTGAATTTTATTCCTTCAATGAAAAGCGTTTGATTATTCTAGACGGCCAAATTACGAGCGACCCTGTAACGATATTTTATTAATGTATTGAATCCCGACACTCCAAATTTTAATATTCAATGAAAAACCGAGTAGAAGGATTCCTACACTATCATCAACCATTTTCTTAGCTCAGGAGTTGAAAATGTTTTCAAATAAATCAATCCTACAAATCTTAAACAATACAATTCTTCATTGGACATTATAAAAACCCACATCACTTGAAGACTTCCAACAGCAGTAACAATAAAAAATGAATAGCACATATAACTAGAAGATAAAATAGGGATAACATCAATGTTAACAGATGACACAAGGAGCTTGAAAGGAAACTCCCATTAATATTAAAAAGAGCTGTAACAGTTCATGGATTAGAGAAATCTAATTTAATGAAAAATTGTTTCGTAAAATTTCAATGCCGTATATTTCCTATATACAAATAGCAAATTATATGATTGCTATTCTAGTTTATAGCAGTTTTTAGGAACAATGTTCAGAGTAGACAGCTAGAACTGTGTCCCTGTTCTTTTTTAAGAAAAAGAAAGTTTCAGAAAATGTATATATTTTACCTGAAATGATTGGAGATTTTGGTTTAATATCATCAAATTCAAAGACATTCTCGTTAGATTCAGTTGGGATGAGAACCATTGCTCTTTCAAATGGTTCTGACAAGTTTTCTTGCATTGATAAAGGTGAGCCTGGCGCATCAGGTACTGGTGAAGCTGGAGTGTCTGGTGTTGGTGATGCAGGGGCGTCCGGTGTTGGTGATGCAGGGGCGTCCGGTGTTGGTGATGCAGGGGTGTCCGGTGTTGGTGATGCAGGGGCGTCCGGTGTTGGTGATGCAGGGGCATCCGGTGTTGGTGATGCAGGGGCGTCTGGTGTTGGTGAAGGTTGAGTGTCTATTATTAATGCAGAAGGGGATGCTGAAAGATCTGCTATTGGTGATCCAGGTGTATATGATATTTGTAATGATGTGGAGTCTGATGTTGGCAATATTGGGGCATCCAGTGTTGGTGAAGGTTGAGTGTCTATTATTAATGCAGAAGGGGATGCTGAAAGATCTGCTATTGGTGATCCAGGTGTATATGATATTTGTAATGATGTGGAGTCTGATGTTGGCAATATTGGGGCATCCAGTGTTGGTGAAGGTTGAGTGTCTATTATTAATGCAGAAGGGGATGCTGAAAGATCTGCTATTGGTGATCCAGGTGTATATGATATTTGTAATGATGTGGAGTCTGATGTTGGCAATATTGGGGTTTCTGGTATTGGTGAAGCTGAGACATCTACTACTGATGCTGGAGGGGATGCTGAAAGATCTGCTACTGGTGATCCGTTGGTAATATAGTGGCTGCTGTGGATCCAGGTGATGGCTGATGGGGTTTCTGGTAAAGCTGAGACATACATGCTGGTGATCCGGGAGTACATGATATTTGTATTGGTGTTGGCAATACTGGGGCAACTGGTGTTGGTGATGCTGGAGTATCTATTATTAATGTTGGAGAGGATGCTAATAGATTTGGTATTGGTGATGCAGAATTATATGGTACTTGGGTATTTGTAATTTTTGATCTGTTTATTGCTGGTACTTTCATTGAGACCTGAAATGAGAAATTTCTTAAAGATTTAAAAAGAGTCAAACGCAAAACTCTTTAATTGTAAATAACACTAATTTTAATTTTTATGATAAGAATGATCTGCAACACCAGACACGCATTGTGGTTGTTTACTTTCAACATAAATTAACATAAATTAGGAAATCAGACCAAGTATTAATATTTAACTGAACACTAATTTTATATCAGAAATTCATATATTTACAAAGAATGGATTAGACTGGCACTGAATTACAGCAGATAATTGACCTTAATACTTCAATAAACTGTCAGATGGATGAGCTTGTTGACCATTGCCCAATTGTAGTTACTTAAAACAAGGAAGAAGAATACATGGTACAAATCCTTCATGTGGAGAGGATAGCTACCTAGAAAACCAGTATTTGGATTCCTTGTTTAACCAGAGCTTTACCAGTGATCATTGCAGTTGTTATCAAATATGCAACTATTTCACCCACCAAGTAGACCCTGCATCACAAATATTTTAAGTAAGAATTAGAACACCCAGGTTTAACTTGGATTTTTATGCATGAGAAAAAAAAAAGACAAATAAGGGTGCTGAAAATTTTTTAGCCTCACCAAGATGTACTTCCAAAGATAAAAATTCTCATGTTTGGTTAGATTTTAGGAAGTGGTTTGAACCAAGAACTTTTCAGCACCACATTGTATTTTTTTTAAAAAACAAAGCTTTAAGTATTAATTATTTGCTTTGTATTTTAAAATAGTATTGGAATTTACTATATTATTTAATTTATAAAATACCAGGAGATATTAAAAAACAAAAAAAAATAAACAGTATATAGTGTTAAGAATATTATTTTATAGAAAATAAAAACTGCATTTTATATTTTCCATAAATATTTGGAAATGTTCATGTCTGTCAGAGTTACTCACTTTAGATATACTCATTGTTAGTGTGAAAAAAAAAAATCACAAATGCAAACTTAGAAATCATTTTAAAAATATAAAATGACCTCATCATGTTGACCTTAGTTCGCTTGTTTGTTATATACATGATGTGGCAGAAATACCTATGAAATATGCCTCCCAGAAATATCCCCATAGTATGGTAAGACATTAGTGGCAAGAGTGTCTTCATTATTATATGGAAAATATTTCTCTTACAACCGGCACCAAACATTTTCATATGACATAAGTTACACATTATTTTAATCGCAGTGAAAATTAAATTTGTTGGAGAAAATAGATTATGTGAGATAAGAGTTAGGATATAAAGATTATTTTTCAAGTTGTAATGGATGGTGAAAAAAAAAACAGGGAATTGTGGATAGAAAAGTGTCTATATGAGTCAATGTGAAATCAGTTAGTGGGGAGTGATCAAGTATCAAGCAACTTGACAAATGGGTGAACAGAGCACAGTGAAAGAGGATGAACAAAGGAAAGCAAGAAGCATGTAAGAAAGGAAGAAAAACAAATTGTTTTGCTCCTTAAAACTACAAGCTATTTCAGCTGCCATGGATGGGAAATTATGCTTAAACACTTATATGGTTAAGCCTTTTAATGGCAAGGGAGACATAATTAGTTGTGAGGTTGCAAAAGATTCCTGACTTTGCAAGTTTTATTCCCTTGTTTCTGGAAGGGGACGCTTTAGCTATCTATCTGCATTTTTGCAAAAAATATTACAAGCAATAGTTTTTTTAAAAAAAAAAATATTACTAGCAATAAAAATTTTGTTGGCATTAAATAACCCATTGAAGTTGATATACTGTAAACCAAACCAACTTGTGTTGGGAATATACTGAGGGGTGGGGAAACCCATTTGCTTTGGTTGAGATGGGGATACACGGCCAGTATACTTGAGTTGGGAGTATGACTTTTAGTCCATGCCGATTTCATAGATGGTAGTGATTGCCATAGATTTTAGCAATGGTCTACGTTTTTTCCTCTCAATGCAATTGACACTCAGCCCCCACCTGCTAGCACCTATAAGATAAAGGGTTGGGAAGTGTTCTCCGAGTGCAAATTGTGAGAAACAAAACATACAGCTGCTGGGGCTTGACAGGACCAGCTGATTGAGTGGATCAAGCCTATGTGACCACCTGTCTAGCCCAAGTAAGGGCCAAAGTGGTGTGTTGGGAATCATGAATAACTATTCCTGACTCCTGAAACCCTCAACCACCAGGATCCCATCCTCAAACATCATGGATCACGACATATGGCAAACATGTGTCCCTACAGGGGGTGTTTTACCCATATGCAAAGGTGCAGTCAATGTATTCTGAAGCTCCAGCCAACTGAGCAACCTGCTTGGGCTTTGCGGATCATTTATAAGAGAGTGAATAATATGTTTTTTTCTTTCAGTAGCAATTTACATTTTTCACACTTTGAGGGTCAAAGAGCATGTGATAAATGTCAACCCAACTCAACTAGCAGTTTCACCAGTCAAATCGTTTGGACACACAAACATCGTTTACTTTGTAAATAAAATAGATGTACAATTTTAATGAAGCATGCGGGAATTTTTGTCAACAAAATCAATAAAATAAAAATGTCAATTGTAATCATCATATAACATTAGCTTTAAAAAAATAAACAAAAGAACAAAAAAATATTCAAGGATAGGCAAATATTATAAGCATTTACTTGGTTTAGGGATAGGTAAATATAGATCATTTTGGGATGGTTGTTACCCATCTGCTGGGGATGCTGTTGGTATATTCAGAAGCCACAGAATTGCAATAACAGGAATTCCTGTCATCTGCAGTTATATTTGGTTACTATAAAATCATTTAAGAGATACACAATCTCAACAACTACTTGATGCGCAGGAGTTATAAAAACAGAGAGAGGAGAGAGAAAGCAAAAAAGAGACAGCGGAGAGAGAAAGCAATCGAGAGAGCAAAGAGAGAAAGTGAAAAAAAGAGAGTGGAGAGAGAAAGCAAAAAAGAGAGTGAAGAGAGAAAGAAAAAAAGAGAGGAGAGGAGAGAAAGAAAAAAAGAGAGGAGAGGAGAGAGAAAGAAAAAAAAAGTGAAAGAGAATAGAGATAAAATGAAGAGAAAGAGAGGAGACAGCAAATTAGTGAAAACTGAAATAGCAATATGTGCATTTACCTTATCTTTGTCACAGCTGGCTTTATTTTCAGCCTGTGTTTCATCTGTATCAGAACTCTCAAAATGAATTACCAATTCTGGAGAAGAATCACTGTCTTCTTCTGCTGGTTCCACTTTCAGAATACAAGAACCATTATTTAATTCTTTCGCATCAACAGAACCATCAATGTTTCCTTTGTTTTTGTTATTCTTTATTTCAATTCCTTCTGACTGCTTATCTTGTTTTTTATTTGAATTGAAATCTCCCTCATTGGAAATTGTTGTTGTACTTGTCTCCTCAAAAGGAGATTCTTTATTTGGAGACACAGGATTTTCCTTAAGACTGTAAGCATTTGTTGAGTCAGACTTTTCAATTATACATGTTTTTCCTGGCTGCCTGAAACAATCATTCTCATTCTTTTCAATCAGTTCTTCAGTAAGAGAACTTGGTTCATTTTGATTGGGGCATTTTGAAATACTTTCCAAAGTTTTCTCTGAAGAACTCACTGAAATCATGTCTGTCTGTGACTGTTCTTCAGGTTGGTTGTCACTAGTTAATTTCCCAATCATGGATATTTGAGGTGGAACAATTATATTATTATGGTCTTCAGGTTTTAAATTGGAATTCATCTCAACAGAATGAAAACTTGATTGTTCTGATAAACCTTTATTTGTGTCTTTAATTTCACACACAGAAGATTTCACTGTTTTCTTTCCCAAAGATGATGTTTTAGTAGAATTTCTCTTTTCCTTTACTGCCTTCTCAGTTATGGTTCCACGATTAGTATTGGAAATACTTGTAGCAAATGTTTCCAGATGTGAAAGATCCATCAAGTCAGATGCCTTATTATATATATTGTCAGTTTCATCCTCAACATGTGTTGTGGGGGTTGGTTGGAATGAGTAGGTTGACATGTGGTCAGGATGGAGAACTCTAGCAGCCAATGAGATTTTATGGAAATTAGTGTTGATGTCTCTGGTAGTTTGTTGACGGTGAAATGGTTTATCAAGGAAGATTATCTTGTGCATGACATTTTTTGACACTGAAAATATTACAAATAGAAAAATTATTATTGTGTTCAAAAGTTTTATCAAAAAATCAAATTTACAGATCTTTACTCCAAAATTCATTTCACGTACATGTCTAAAGACTATGCATGATTCCATGGCTTTATTAATATTATATGATGTTTTTTTTAAATACTGTTAGTTCACCCAAAAGAAGTCACAAGAGACACTCATGATAGAGGCTTAGTGAATGTAATTGTTGTAAGGGAGATGTAAGAGGGATTAAAAAGTGCACACTATGAGGATATCAGTTGACCATAGACTTGACGAGAACTAGATTGTAGTTGGCAGGGTTAGAACATTGCCAGAACATGTGTAATAGTAATAGAGGTTAGCAACATTTCAGCTGTGGGATAAGGATATAAAGGTGGAGAACAATTCATTATCCACAAAGCCTCATAACTGCTTTTGAACTCTGTCGAAGTTGGACAGTAAGGACTGGGCTGCACCTGCCCAGATATAACAGATATACTCCGTTCTTGGTCTGATCTGATTCTTGTAAAGATAACATATTATTATCAGTATTATTCAGCTTCACTTTTTGTTTCAGATGGTATAATGGTCGATACAAGAATTGAGATTTTGACAGTTTTGAGGCATTATTTTAAATGGGACTTAAACCTGCTTACAGAAGTCATGAAGTGGAAGGGAAAAAATCCTATTACACAAAACTAGTTTAAGTTTCTGAAGGGTGGTGTCTTTTCCCTTGAAATAAAGCCTAGAGGTAGTTGACAATCATCAGTCAATTATGATGCTTTAAAACACAAGGTAGAGAAGAACCCAGCCACTAACATTTGAAAACTTTCAAAAGACTTTAGAACATTAAAAGATACCATATATTGAGTATTACATAAATTTAAAAAAAAAACAAAAAAAAACAGGAATTCTTGAGAAGTTCTCTGTTGAGTTTAAAAAAATAGGTTTTATAAACTAATATTACAAATAAAAAAAATATCATTTTTTATTTTCAATGGTGCCTTGGTAATACTAAAATAATTGCAGGTTAAAACAGCTATTTTTTCAGATTTCTACCTATATGTAAATTACAAAAAAAAATTAGCATGTCTCTTTTTTACCCACATCTGTTAGGTATAGATTCCATTTACAGGGGCTGTGAGGCTGATGTATCATCCTTTGGCATTATATATTAGAGAGATACACCACTTCCTCCACAGAACACTGCTTTCTGGTAACAATGTACTTGATAGTACGATGGCACCTTTCCACTATGCCATTTCTCACCAGGAAGTAAGCACATCATAAACCCAAGTGAACGCCCCAGCCTTCTGTGAATTTTCTGAATGCACACCTGCAAAATGCTTTACCATTGTTGGCGAGTAGCTCAGTCAGTGGTTCTCATCTGAAGAATACTGACTCCAGCTGCTGGATGATGCTGGCAGAGTCTTGACAAAACAATGGGTGCCAGATGGAGAACCGAATAGGGCCACGATCAATCAGTGTCAGGTAGTATCTGCTGCCAAGGTGGGTCATGTCCACTACTATTCTGTACCAAATGTCTCTTACATCTAGCTGCCCAATCTTCCACTGTACTGGAGCCAGGTTTATGGACTAACATGCCTCACATTGTCCCACCACTTTTTTAACTGCAGCCTTGGATATTGCAGGATTGAACTGCCTCACAAAATACAGTGTGTGTTTATACCAGGATATCCACTTTGCTGATAGATACTCATTATCTGGGCAGAATCATCAATGGCTCTGGTACATACTGGCTATGTAGGTTCTGCTTCCTTTCATATTGCATCAAGCCATTGCTGCAGTACACTGATGAGATGATCGGCTTAGTCTGCACTAGACTTGACCAAGGTCACATTGATGGTTAGACTGTATTCTTTGGCAAGCCCCTCCAGAGTGCTGAGCTGACATCTTAGCATTTTTGTGGCTGGTTTGGTGCGCACATTTGCCTACCCAGTGCAAGTGTCCGAAATCCACAATGCACACATGCTGAATTGGTTAGGAGGTGCAGCACTGTTGCTTTCCATAGGAGTGCTAGATTAATGCCTCTCAACACTGTGTCCTTAGCAAGATTTATACACTGCAAGTCTCCGTCTGGATGCAGTCAACACATATCTTCAATGATGTCCCTGTCAACTTCAAAGTTACTCCAGTAACCAGGGAATTTATATCAACCCACACCTTTATTTCCTGAGCATGCACACACCAATTCCCTCTCACAGGGTCCTCCTGATATGCTCTGGTAATTACCAGAGTATATCAGGAGCATCCTTATTTCGGTGAGCATGGATTTTAGTAGGACATTCCAGGTCTTGTCATTCCAACCTTTGGTTGTCGTATTTGCCCATTGCTTCAGAAACACAGTTGCTTGTCTGAGCCAGCCACATACTTGAAAGTGACCAGTGAGCTTCCTGCATACAGGAAATGTGCTTTGATGAGTAATGGTGGCTGGAGCTGGTGGGATCTCACTTCCTCATTTCTACTGAAGTATACCATGTTCCCCCCAGGTGTACAAGCACAATATTTTGGCCCCATCCTTCAGTCTCTCAGGGTCCTTGCAAATTGAGTTTGACATTAGTAAAGTGCTTCTGAACTGGTTTCATCAAAACTAGGCTTTCATCGACGTAAATATTGTCAATGTATGCTGACATGGCATGTTTAATTACCAGTAGCACATTGATTATCAACTGCATTATAAGGGACACTACATTCAGTCCGAAACCTAGCTGCATAAGGCAGTACCTGCACCCCCCTCAGTAGTACAGTCTGGAATGGCCACAATGACTTGTGGATATGTATCTGCAGATAAGCTTTTCTTAAATACAGAAATGATACATTATTCCCCCGCTGTTGCTATTCTCTTAATTTGTGTGAACAAACATTGGCATTTGCGGTGAACATGTTGATGTATTTAATTCAGCTCCTGGGAGTCCATGACAGGGTGAACCTATCCTTTGTTCTCTTGAACCACAGCCATCAGTGCAATTAAATGTTTAACTTGCCTTAGTTCCTTCTTGGTATATGGTGTCAGCCAGCTGTTCTCCAGCCAGATTTGCAGCTCATGCTCATACTCATGTTGCATTAAGTTGGACATGGAATATTCTGCCATCATATTATGCAGCACTGTTGGGGCTTGACCTCCCGTCCCCTCCCATGTTGTATCCAAATCTTCACTACCTGGTCAAATTTGGTGCTGAAGTCCTGTTCGTCAATGGTTATCATTGCACATAGAATAGTATTCAACCCAATCAGAAGGTCATACCCCAGCAGCCACTTGTGAGTCACCAAGATGTCAACCTTAATGGGATTACCACCATTCAGGCTCACATTGATGACCCCAACCCCACAGGCGTTAATTTCTCTGTTGATAGGTAGTCACACACACAAACATCTTGTCCATGATCGGCACATGTCTTTGCTGGCTAATGATTGGGAGCAACCAGAGTCAACAAGTGCTGTGTGTGACCTCTCATCAATTTGGACTGCAATTACCAGTAGTGCCAAGTTTTTATCCACTCCAGGGAAGAGACTAGCACTATCGTCTATTACCCGGTCTCATTTCTCAGACAAGTATGTGCGAATTTTGGAATCCAAAATTCGCTTGAAGATGAAACAGAACTAATGCTTTTAATTTAATTATATAATTAAATTTGAAGGATTTTAGCTTCGGTTTTTGAAACATGGTAATTCCTGTGTAGCAAAGAAACCATATTTTAAATCAGTTAATTTCTAATATTTATGCTCTGTAAATTTCCATTGAGCACTGTTTTGTAAAAATAAATATATCAATAAGAACACTAAAGCAAGTGCAGCTTATATTTTATATCATACAGAAACAATTTATACAAAGAATTAATTAGCAATGTTAATGTAATTAATGGCAAAATCACTTTGTTAACAAGACTTAATGGGACATTAATTTACTATCAATTCCTTGAATAATACAACATTCGAGTTGTTGTCAGATGGAAGATACATGCCAAGTACTTTCAACAATTTCAAATTGTCATCCTTAGAGTGCAATTTTCCCATAGACAGGCAAACACCAAGATGAATTATGTGTAAACCCAAAGATGTTTTCTTAAATTATATGATTTATTGACAGTTAAATCTATGTTTTGGAGTATGTGATGCCTCGATGCTAGAGTTCTTGTTCAAATCAATAAAGTGAGAATTTTGTTTGAATTTTGAAAGATATAAATACACAAAATTGTCTTGTTATATATATATATATGTTAAAGTGAAATGGATTTTAAGTATAATCCAATTAGTAGAGTAAAAATATCTTGTTAGTTTTCCACAGAATTTAAGATTCTGATTATTATGTGCTACGGATCTGATTTCATAAATATATTAGAGTGTGCAGCTTATATTTTATATCATAAAGAAACAATTTATACAAAGAATTAATTAGCAATGTTAATTCAGTTTTGTTAGCAAAGTGATTTCGCCATTAATTACTTTATATATCTCAGTAAATAATCAGAGAGCACTGATAAGAAAACAGAATGCTCATGATGACATTATGTTGAAATATTGGTTCTCCCATGATCACCAAGGTTAATCACTGTTGAGCCTGATAAGTACTTAGATGGATGACCACCTAGGAATAACAGGTGTTATAAGCTTGGATGTGTAAAAGATAACTATTTGAAATTGTTAATCGGAGAGCAAAGTTCCAATTCCAGTTGGTTTTGTTCTATTTATTTATGAGCAAATATCCTTGAGAAAGGTCTTCTTCACCCCCATAGCTATAGATTAATTAGTAAAACTTGTATCATTAAATCATTATTATCTCCAAAAAGAAAAATTCTTATAGTTTAAAAATATTTTCTGGTTTTAAATAGTCTGAAAAGGGTTGATAAGCTGTAGAAAATGAATCAATCAAGGGAAATAGGGAGAGTCATTTTGTTGATCCTAGTTAAAAGTGCCAATCCTTTCAATTTCAATAGGTACAAGTGAAAAGAAAAAAGAAAATATACTGAACACGTTTCATCTTAAAATCAACACTGAGGTGGTATAAAACAACAAAGAAAAACATATGAATTAAAATGCTTCATCTAAAAATTAAAAAAACAAATGTAACTGAGAGGGACAAAATTAGTTACCTCCAATAATTTGCTGAAAAAAAGAGTATAGCATGATGAAAAAAGGCCCCAAACTTAATAAAAACAAAGTTTTATTGTCAAAATGTTTATGTTATTATTAAGGGGAAAGATATTTTAAATTTGTTTTTACTCTTTTCTAACATAAACAGAAATGAATCTGCTCTAAATTGTAAAATAAAAAACTGCAATAAAACTATTTAATTAGTTAGGCTTTTAATTGCTTTTATAAATAATATATATTAAGTACATTATAAATCTGAAGACAAAGAAATTTTTTGATGAATAATGAATTTTTACAATTGTTTTCATTTTTTTTTTAAATTATAATAATTTATAAAGTTTAAAAAATGTTTTAAAAATTATTTCAAACTTTGTACCTGTTAGGTTATTAAGTTAAGACTATATTTACTAAGCAAAATTTGAAAAGCTTAATACAAATCATCATGTCAAAGATTTTTAGAATAATGGAAAATATTTTTTTATGTGTATAAATGTGTCGATTTTGAAAATATGGTTGACCATACACGACATAATCAGAAAATAAGATCCATCATGATAGTAAATTTAAAGTCAAAATTCCTAAAATTAGATTATGAAGAATATTTCCAACATTTTAAAGATTACTGAGTATTTAAAAATTATATAAAAAAAGCATTCACCCATCATTTTCTTAAATTATGTTTTATCAGATAGGGTTTCTGCAGAACAACAAAGTGTCAACACCTCATAAATCACTCATCAAGTGATTTGCGAGGTGCTGACAGTTGTTAACAATTTTATAAATGCACTGTTGTTTATTTTAAAAATCCATTTCTTTGTTATTTTCAACTTAAAGTAAATAACATTTGTTCCAAATCAGATTAATTATAATTTAAATCAGCTAATATTCTTCAAATAAAGTTTCAGAAAATTACATTTTATTTTTGGAAGATTATTTAATAAAGAAAAATTAATTGTGATGACAGATGGCTAAAAAAGGGGAACTAATCAACTATTTGTAGCCCCAAAAATGAATTGACTTCGACCAATAGAGTTTCTGTTTGAAATATGCTACACAGTATTTTGCTTACTGGAAATAGTAAATTTAATTCTTTAGCCTTCAATTAAAGCTAAAATGAAAGCTTCAAGAAAGATTTTTCAATCATGAAAATTTATTTAAACCTTAGGTATACCGATTTATTGGAGGTACATAGACAAAATTCTTTAACAACTCTAATAATAAATATGTGTAAAACTAGTATCTGTATAATTCAAAAGATATGAAAAGTGAACCCTACATATTAATGATATTTTCAAATACATATAAGTATTTGTCAGATTCATTTGAAGAACCAAGCTTCCAGAATGTTCAGGTCACATAACAATTCTGGGCTTTCTATCTGAATACTTGGTGCCATATGCGATGCTGTCAATAGATATGAGTCCAAATAATTCATAATAATATCTCATCTAGGAACTTTAGACACAAAATAAAATCACCTTCAGATTGGTATTCTTGGACACTGACAGGAATATCCCAACTTTTCTCAAAGTGAGGTGCATGATTGTCAACCAAGCATTTGAGTACACTGGAGGACAGGACAATATCACACTGGTATTTTTGAGCCAATTTTTGAGCATTGCGGTCTTTACTACAAACCTGAAATATAAACAGACATTGAATTAATAAAAATCTAAAATTCATTGGAATGGAAATTCAGAGCTGAAGTTAGAGCAAATAAACATTAAGATGACAACTTCAATTCATATTTATATTCTTATGTTATTATTCTTAAGCCATGATTTCCCATATCCTGAAGGGACACAGCACATAAAAGAAAAAAAATTTGGACTGTCTCAGTCATTGTCAAGAACAGGGTGTTGTCAGTGAGGGATACAAGATTTTGTTGGCTATCTTCCTGACATTTTTGGAGGGAAGCTTGTATTCAAATTAATCAAGTGCAACCATTTTACACATGATGTCACCTTGGATTATTTTGACTCTTAAAATTCCCTCTCCACACCCCCAAAAATTGTATTTAATAATTCAGCAAGAATTATATTGCATACCTGATTACAATTAAATGATTCCATGTTTGGCAATTGAGTTCTCTCAGTTGGGAAGCGTTGCTGAAGGATCTCATAATCCAAAACAGTTTTCATTTTCTTATTTAGGAATGGAAAGTTGACAGGAACCTCACCCTACAAAAAAACAAAAAAAAACAAAACAAAACAAAAAAAAACCTGATTTAAAATGGAATATGAATTGAAATAATTTTCATGCAGTAAAAACATACAAAACAGCATATCACCAATAAATAAATTAGATAGGATATCAATAATCATAACAAAAAATTCAACAAATCTGATAGTGCAAAAATACAAAGCAATATAAGATATGATTATGAATACTAGAAAAGAGTAAAGAATAGAAAATTAAATAAGAACAAAGATGTATTTCAAAATTAAAAACCTAAACGAAACGACATGACATCCTAATCTGAAGCCTGGAGATGGGAACTTGAAAAATCACCAAAGAAACAATTCTTAATAATTACCAAATCACTATAAAAAAAAGTCTTCTAAAAATCAGCAAGCATATAAGGGAAAGAACTAAACATTTTCTTTTTATAAGAGTTATCTCCCCTATATTTAAACTGCAATGTAACCTTAAAAAAAGTCCATGCCGTTTTTTATTTATTAGAAAAAAAAGTATACAGTAAATTTGACATAAGGTTAGTCCTCAAAGTAATCCACACTAGCATCCAGAACCTTTTGCCATTGTACCTCCCGCTGCGCAATACCCTGGCGGTAAAAATCATGTGTCTTGGACGCAAAGACTGCATGTGCCTGCCGCAAGATTTCCCATGAAGGTGGTTGTCCAGGGAATAGAAGAGGTGGTAATCTGATGGTGCAAGGTCTGGGTTGTAAGGTGGATGGCACAGTGCCCCCCCAGTCACGTCGCTGTATGGTATATCTGCTCCCTCCTTTTGCCACTTGAGGCCTGGCATTATCATAACAGGGGATGGCTCTTTCTGCTTCATTGCCTGCTGCACATGTTTGAACTGTTGTGAGTACAGGTACACAGTGATGGTTTGGTCAGTTTGTATCAGCTCATAATGCCCCACTTGTCGACTAGTCCACCAGATACAAATCTTGTGTGGATGTAGAGGTTGTCATGTGGTGACAACAAATCAAATATGGGTATGTTACAGTGTTGAGAAAGAAACAGGCTGTCACTCGTTACTTGTTGGCTTACTAGAGTGTGTGGAGTACCCACTTGCTGAACCTGTATACCTTCCCTATATGGTGCAGGTGAAGTCTGACCGTTTCATCAGAGGCCTGGAAGCATTCAGCAAGCTCATCACACATTTTGGCTATTGTCCTTCTCTATAGCTGCCTTCAGGGCCTGATCATCCAGGACCTTTGGCCGGCCACTGCAGGGTTCATCACAAAAGGACAGATCTCCTGACCTAAACTTCTGGAACTAATGCCTGGTGGTGCATTTGCTCACAGCATTATCCCCAAAGGTTTGACTTATTCAATGACTTGATTCGGCTGCAGACAGGCCCACCTTAAATTCATAAAGCAGACAACACTGAATGAGCTACTTTGACACCACCATGTTTCTTAACCACTGCTTGAGTGATGATTGATGTGTGTGTGTGTGTGCAACACACCTGCATTGGTCAACAAGAGCAATGCCCCCAACCCCACCAGTTCCCTGGCACTTATTAGCATATCAGTGATCAGTTTTTCCTCACACAACATAAAAAACTGCTGGGACTTTTTTGATTACTTTATATAATTTTAACATTATTTTTGGTTGATACTTCTTCTATGTGCTGTGTCCCTTAGATTATAAGCGACCATGGCTCTCCACAACTTCCTGTTCTTTGTAGCTTTGAAAAAATATCTTTTTGCTGTATCTCCTAGTCCCTGTTCTATCAACCATTTTAAATAAGCTCATTAGGCAGCTTTTCTCTCTCTTATCTTCAATGTCCTGTGGGTGTCAAATTTTCAAAGCTTTCTTTCCTCATTACATGCCTTAGAAATTTCAACTGTCTCTATCTGATGCTACATATAAGTGTCCTTTTTGTTTCCATTTTCTCTAAAACTTTGTCACTGCTCACATATTCAAGTCAATGGTATTCTCAGCATCTTTCTGTAGAACCACATTTCTGTTGCTTCAAGTCTCTTTATTGGTGAGAAGAAGGTCCAGCATTCATTGCCATATAGGAAGACCAATATTACATAGCAGTTCAGTATTTGATTTTTTTTTTTATTTCCAATTAAATTTTCTTGTTTCTTAATACTTAGCTTAACTTTGGATTTTACTTTTGTATTTTCTATCCTCTATTAAAACACTTTTTAGATATCTAAGTATTTGCATTTGTTTAATTTTGGTATCTCCAATTTGTAATTTGCATATTGTGCAGTTTTTGTTACTGACAACCATACATTCTGTTTTCTTACTTTTCTTGATGTTTAGTCCTTTCTTCTCATTTCCCTTTACTAGTTTCTTTAAGAGTTCCTGTAGTTTCCTGTGTCTGCTATCAACACTGTGTCATCTGCATATCTAATGTTGTTAAGATTGTGGCTGTCAATAATGAATACTGGTGGGACTTCTAATTCTCTCAGAATTGTTTCACTGTAAAAGGATTGAATAAGTCTGGTAAGAAGATACATCTTTGTCTTACACCACTTTCTACTTTTCTGCAGTTACTGAATTTATTTTCTATCTTCATGAAGGCAGTTTGCTAACTGTATAAGTTTTGTATTATTCTATCTAAATAATTGAAGCTTACCTAGCAGTTCTAACAGTTGTTTTAAATATTTTCATCTGATCTGATCTGGCTCTTGTAATGATAGAGTATGGTCTGAACTCAAGTTCACCTCAGAAGTCATATATATGATCTATTGCTAAAAATATTGGAAAAATGGTTGGTTCCTTATACCACTCCATACTCTATCATTACAAGAGCCAGATCAGATGAAAAATGGAGTATGGGCTGGAGCTACCCAATCTTCTCTTTCTAACCTCAGAAAAGTTGAAAAGCATTTGTGTACGTGTGTTGTAACCTAGAAAAGGTTACTGAATGAAAATAACCAAAATGAAGGTTGGAAATAGAACAGTAATCTTTATAACCTTAACAACATAACAAAATTTGCCAGTGGTACATAGTCAGTAATCCACTGCTAGTGGTGAAATAGTGGTGAATCCCCCCAGACAGTATATTTCACTGTATTTATGAGGATTGGGACATACCCATTATAGTCCATAGGTATAACATGATTATTTTCTGCCCAACAACCTCTCTCCTACAGATGTAACTTTGCAAGCCTCTCACTAATCCATTGTTATTTCCATGGAAAATGTTCTGATAAGCTATATTTCTCAGTTCCACCAGTTCAACTCTTGACAGCTAGGATCTGTTGTATCATAAACACAGGGTTGAATCATTCTAATTCCCTTTGTATTTCATTGGTGAGAAGGGAATTCTATTCAGACAGTTTCTTCCTAAGAGCTGTTTACTTTGTGTATCAGACTCCCAAGAGGATGCTTACCTGAACACTACAATCTTAATGTTTCAAGGTTAACTGTCACCTATCAAACATATCCTAATAATCTGCATTTACTTCCCCCTGCATACAACAAACACATTTAGCAATCCTTTATATTGTGTGGCTCTTGGGTCTTGCATTAGATATTAAAAAAAGAAAAAAAACATGTATTTGTCTATTTATAGGCAACTATGACCTTTATTTTTAGATGAATCAATTTAAATCATTTTCAATTTTGTCTTGTAATTACTTCACCTTAAATTTAGTTGCTATTTTTATTACAACTTACAGATTTTCAGTTTATGGCAGTGAGTAAATGGTGTAGATTAGAAATCAAAAAAATAATTTCCCAGGGAAATTATTTCTAATCCACCCTATTTTCTCACCATCATAGACTGACAATCTAATATGTGATAAAAAAAAAATCAGGAAATTAAAAGAAAATTATGATTAATAATGAACTTTTTTTTTTTTTATCAAAATTTAACTTAACTTTAACTTCAAGTGAAGCAAATAAAGAGGAATGTGAAATTATTTATATCTTATAAAGATATTTAAAATTTATGACTGAAAATATTCATAAGGAGAAGCAAGAAATGGTTGAAATGTGGCTTACCATTTGTAAGAGGATTTTAACAGATTGGAGTTGATGTGTTTTGCAGTGATTTGTAACGATGGGGACCTTGTCAATTGGAAGGTTGAAGGGACTGTGTTCTTGGAGACGCTTCAAGATACCTTCATGTTTTTTCTATGTTAAAGAAAGAAAAATTACATTTAAAACTAATATTATTCTTCTGTCAGACAAAAATTGAGATTTAAAAAACGAAATTGCACCATCAGTTGTAAGACAACAAAAACTTATTAATACTTTATTTTTAATCTAAGCCTTCACCATACCAGTTTGTGTTTCTGATTTATTGATTAATTTATAATAATCATTGATTCTTTATAGTTTATTAATAAATTAAGAAAAGTTCAAGTGACATATCTGGCTAGCTGACTCAAAAGAAATCAAACATCTGGCCTTGATGAGTGTTTTGACTTGAAACTCTTGAGACAATATACACCTGATGAAGGCCAAAGGACACAATGGTCAAAACATTATGATAAAAACAACAAAGATGAGGTCAATAGTCTGAATGTAAAGAGTGTAAATAATCAAGTCTTGTTTGTATGACTCCTGTGCTTAGGGTTAATAGATGTATGGTTGGGAGAGATTTAGGTGTTGGGAAATATTTGATCAGCTGAGAGTCAGAGATGTTGTCTTGTTGTCTAAAGGAATAAACAAACAATAAATCCCAGCTGGTATCATCCCATTTGAAAAATTGTCTTTTGCAAAGGGAACACACAGATGTATGTGTGTGTGTGTAGTGTTGTGGATATTGATGCAGATAGTGCAATCAGTGAGCCGATTTCAAATTCCAGGAAAGTCTGTTGTGTAAAATAACAGGGTACATTGGGCTCTCTAGTCTTTGGTAGCAAGCAGTATATCACAAAGAAAATTATGAATTTCAAACCATGGAAAAGGTAAAGGGAAACCACTCCATTATCCCTTTTTTTTTTTTTTTTAACAATGGTGTCAACCCTGTATAAGGCCCTGTGGCCACTCAAGATAGAAAATTACAGAGTAAGAGGCACAGCTCATACAGACACGTGTGGAAGATAATGGTAAATCCTAGACTTGAACAGGTTAAAATTGTTGTGATCACACAAGCAACTGCTTGGGAGTTGGTTTCACAAAGTAGTGGTTCATGGGGGAAAAAACTGCTCGAGTGGAATTTACTAGGGGAATATGAAGGGAATGAGGGTGATTCACTACAAAGTGCATAGCATAGTGGGTCTTAGCCATGACAATTAGGACTGTTAGAACAAAGGAGTGTCCTTTATCTAAACACTCTCCATGCAAATAGCGATAGAGCACCAAGACACTAGTGATGTCTGGTCTGTGAGAAGGGGTTTCAGAGTGGAAAATAATTTGTCACTTAAAAGGAGGCGGAGAGATGCTTATGGACTCTATTGAGAGTGTTAAGTGAAGACTTTGCATCTCCCACCCATATATGGACACAGTACTCTATTCTCAGCCTGATCTGGTAAAGATAGAGAATTGCAGGAGGAGTGAGGTACTTGCTGGAGTGGTACAGGGTAATAGATCATACGTATGAGTTCCACTTGATCTTTCTCCAAAATTCATGGCAGTTTACAGACAATTAAGAAAAATCTGCACAAGTTTATGATCACCACATTTTAAAGGGACATGTCATTATCAAAAAAAAACAAAAAAAAAAAACAGTGCTGATGAATAGTGTAAGGTTGCAAGTGAGGTACTAGAAGCCAGAGCAAGTTAATATGAAGGCTTAAAGAAAGAATTGTTAAGTCTTTGAGAAAGCATCAGGTTTTCAGCATGCCTTTTCGAAAATAATAGAAACAAACTATAAAAGAAAGTTATTAGTATGAATTATCACAGTGAAAAATTGGTTTAGAAATTTAATAGCATAAACTAACTTTGACCAAAAGCCACATTTAATGATCATCCAGAGACTGACCTCACTATCAAGGGCTAATAAGAGTTTTACATTCTGGTGAGCATTCATGTAAATTTCAGCTTCCTAATTATCTGCAAATCCAAATTAGGTAAATATCAGAAATCAAAGAATGACGCACCTGCATATATCGTACTGCAACTTCTTCAAGAAAAGTATAATCCTCTTTGAATTTCATACTTGCTTTCTGCAAATATGCAATGAATTCCTTCTGTTCTTTCTGAACTTTTTTATGCAATTTCTGCAAAAAGCAAAAGACAAAATATTCTTTTAAAAAGATAAACTTAAGTTTGTACCATTTTATATATTTTCTTTAACTTTCATTTTGTGCCTTTTAATCACAATAATTCAGTATGTAAAAATATATGAAGGAAGCCGATAATTTTGATCACTTTGAGACAGGGTCTTTTACATAACCAGCTGAGCAAAGGATATAAAGATGAAGATATTAGTCTGATGGCAAATAATATGAATAATGATAACTCCTCATCCCAGAAATTTAGGCAAAAACATATTACGTTCATTATTATAAACAAATATACATTATAAAAAATATATTAATTTGAATTATAATTCTTAATACATTTTCAATTGTTTGCATGTGACTGATAACAATAACTGTATAATTTAGTGATTATAACAAATGGTTTCATCTGTATATAAATTTGATAATAATCTAAATTATAATTTAAAAAGAAAACTTTATATGTAAACCTTAACTTTGAAGAAATTAGCATGTAAAAGACACTAATATATATTTATGCTGACTTAACCAAGATTTATAAATTTGTAAATTTTCATAGAAATTCTACAATGAGGCAACATTAACATTTAAGGATTTTTCCTTTTTTTTTTTGCTTATCTTTGTATTTTTTGCAGTGGTGCCGCCAGGGTATTTTTTTAACACACCTCAGGTGTTTATTACAAAAGACTTACTGTAAAAATCTTTGAAATAAGATTCTATCACAGATATTTGTTCTGAAAAATCCAAGACACTAGAATCACCACATTGCCAATTTTGGGGTCTGGTAATGTGTCAAAGAAACAGCAGGTCATTCTGTTCAGGGATTCCTGTCAACTCTTTAGTCAAAACAATTGGTAAGGACAGAATATAGGGCTAAACAAGAGCTGAAAGCAACATAATCACTGTGCAAAATAAAAGGCTCCTGTGTAATGGATTGAGTCTTGAACTCACTAAAAGTGACTTGAAAGAGAAATGTAAACCTGAAAATGGCTGGAAAGTAGACTGGCAAAATCATTGTGATGCAAACAACTAAAATGAAACAATACTCTTAAAGCAACAACAAAAACTAAATACAACCAAAAAATCAGTTAATCCAAAAACTTTTGCTTTCCAATTGCTATTATTTGAAATTATTTAATTTAATTTTTTTAATGAAATTTATTTGAAATTTCATAATTTTTTTTAAACATTAGTTGACATACACACACACACATTTTATATTAGATAAGCTTCAATGAGGTTGTAGGGATTTAAAAAGTGATTATCTCCTTTTTGTGTAGATAAGTCACATGGGTCACGTGATGGCCACTTCACACAGTGATGAGAGTGCCCAGACATTCAATTTTGTTTGCAGCAGCCAAACTAGGAGGTTGCTAAATCTACCTCCCTAGCAAGTTACAAGTTCATGGTGCCATTTACATCGGGAATATATCTTCCCCAAATATAGAAAGAAATTCCAGCTTGCAGTCCTCAATTTGTGAAAACCCAAGACACATTTCCTGTTCTTGGAATATAACCTCATTATGGATATTGTAGATGAATCTGGCCTGTTTGAATCTGAAGTAGTAAATATGGTTTCTTCAGACACAGGACTCTTTATTATATGTATGAAACTTCCTTTTTATTTTTCCTTACTTTTCCATGTAGATATATGTGATATATTTTTTTCTGGGCGGGACACGTGTGTATGTAGTTTTGTGTATTTCTTAGTGGTATAAAAATCCCTCTGAGAACAAAATTTGAATTTCCCCCATTATGAGCATTATTTTATCTATGATAGAATAACACCATACTTCCTGGATGGAACAGAATAGCTGAAATGAAAAAGAATAACAAACTTTAATCTTGATTACAGCTAATAAATAATTCCTAGAATGCCCTTAATTTTTCAAATGTGTGTACTAGAGTGATTTGTGGGAGATTAAATTGTCAAAAACTTACCAAGAATCGGGCATATTCAGGGCAATCTGGCTCTGGTCGTGATTTTTTGTACAATGTCAACTTTGAGACATAAAACTTTTGTTCTGAAGTATTGAGTAAAGAATAACGAGGATAGCGAAGGCGTTTACGACCATATGAAACATTCTGGGAACTGAAAGACAGGATAAAAAAATGAAAATATCTGAGATAGAATGGAAAAGTTATTTTTCAGTTAGAAGAAAAATATTTATTTGCATTTCTACCACAATAAAAAGATATTGGTTATCATAAAAAGTTTTAGTAATGTTTAACCTTTGTGCCCACAAAAAAAGGTGTGTCAAAAGGATGGCTATTCCCTTGTCACTGGTGGTAGTTTGTTGCTCTCCTAAAGTTTAGCATCAATCATGATGACAGCTGGCAGAAAAAAAGTTTTCTGTGGTAGTTAAAAGAATGCAGTTTTTGGTTTGGGAAACCTTAAAATTTACAAACCATTCTTTGCCTTAATTAACCACTGATCGAAAGTGCTTTTTGTGAGCAGTTTGAAGAAAAAGATTTTCTTTCAAATTTATAACTTTAGAAAATGATAAATAATGAATCTTTATAAAATGGTAAATAATAAATATTGCATTATACTTGGTTCACATATTTTTATAATCTTGTAAATAAACATCATTGAGGAAATGAAAAGTGAATACAGTAATAGTGGTGTCAAGGGAATAACTGACATGTTTCTTTGTGTGCATGAAGGTTTGACATTAATCACTGTTTTTTCCAAGAACAATCAAAGTAATGCACAATTTTTTTTTAATCATTTCACCCCAAGCAAGGTGATAATGCCACTAAGATGCTAGGGATTACTGGCAGTAGAAGAGAATGAGAAAATTTTAGTGAAGAGAAAGGAGAAATAAAGAACATGGTTCAGGAAGACAGAAGTTTAAAGAAAGAAAGGAGACTGTGGAGTGTCATGATTACCTACATTCTGAATGAACATGACACTTGAAGAGGAGGATACTGCATTATGCAAATTTAATACCAACATAGTAAGAGAAAAAAAAAAAAAAAAAAAAAAAACTTACTGGTCTTCTGCAGGTGGAAGTGATCCAAACTTAACAGAATTATCACAGGAAGCTGGCCTTTCAAACACAGTATTGGATGAATTTCCATCATCTAAAATCTTAACAGATTCCATGGTTTCTGGCAGAGGCTTATTGCCATTTTCCATTTCATCATCAACAGTGGACGTAATACACTCAGGATTCTTCTTCAAGCCATTGACTTCAGAAAGTGAATCAGGGGAAGTTTGTGAAGCTGTTTTCTTGTCAAAGTTAAACTCTGGTAGCTCAGTGTCATTTGTGTAAATGTAAGGACCAAGCTCCTTGTATTTGCTGAGGATTTGCTCAGAGAGATCAGCTTCAATGGAAAATTTCTTGTAACTCTCTTCAGTGAAAAACAAATCACTGGAAGACATGTCTGGAGGGACTAGGTCCCTAATAAAATAAAATGAAAGTGATACATAGAAGTTAAGTTTTGATAAAATAGGAAGAAAAGGAAATTTAACAGCAGAATTATTAGCATGAGTTTATGTTTCCCAAACTCTAGTGTAAGAGGAAAAAATTTATGCTGTTTATTTATGTCTTCTGGTCACTAGACAAAATACATTTAGAAAAAGTTCCAATGAGAGCCAAACCTAGAGTTAGCTGAACAGAATTCCATGAAAAATGAGCAAAACCAAGGTTCCCAACTATGTCCACTACCTGCCAATAATAAGAAGACATGACTGATGTGTTGTCCGAATTTTGTAGATTCTGAGAAATTAAAATTTGGAAGTTTGTTTAGACTACACTATCTGTTTGCTGCAGTAATGATACAAGCATCGTGAACACATTTAGCAAATGCTAGTTGTTGTAAATTCTCACTGACTGGGTTCATTCGTACATTCAATTTATACGTTTTTTTTAATCATGTGATAGGCTCCGAGAAGCATTGTTTTTTTGTCATATCAAAAACTAGGTTGATGCTATTCAGACATAGTGGTGAACAGGTAAATTGTATTTTTAATATTTGTTAACCACTCAGAAAGCGTCTTACAAAACTCAGTCTGAAGCCTGATATGTTTTGTTTTGCAGATTGAGAAATGATGTACGTGAAGATACACAAGATAACTTTAATATTTATTGTCCAATGAGAAGTTAAGGTTTTCTGAAAATATGTATGAAGGTGTGATCCGCTTTTTGCACAAAAATCAACATTGATGAAAAAGGGGTAGCGGAATGCTAAACGTGTACTGGCTGATGTTGACTGTTACTTTTTTATTGACATATCCAAAAAGTATGGATGGTCCAACACAAGCCTTTTCCACTTGAAACAAATCATTGTGTTGGTTTTCTGACAACTACATCTAATCAGTTCCACACATATCTGGCTACTGCGAAAAACTCTACGAAACAACATCAAATTCATCTTGGCACTTGGAATGTACGAATTCTCTAGGACAACAACTCAGCACCAGAAAGAAAAACAGCTCTGGTCGCATTGGAGTTAAAGAAGTACAACATTGATATAGCTGCAGTGAAAATTAACCATCAGTCGACTACATGAAACGTGAAAGCAAAATAAGACATCTAAGTGTTCCTGATGCACTTGGATACAATACATTCTCCTGTACTGTTTGTTCTCTTTTGTGCAATTCTCGAGCCAGTCTCAAAAGTCATGCCCATCATAGGCATGACGATAATTAGTTCAGGGTCATTGGAACCTCATACTCAACAAGAGAATCCATCATATATAGGTACTTCAGCTTGACTAACGGTCCCATGGGCATCATCTCAGATTTTGATGAAATTTTAATATATTTGACCTGACTATGAAAAACTAAAAAACCTAAAATTTTAATTTCCTTAAACTCTTAGTTTAGGAGTTATGATCTCTTGAAATTTAGTATCACTTTTTGCTTATTTCAAAATATCATGATTTCATTTTATTTCTATTTTCTATAGTGTTATAATTACAGGATGCTAAAAAGGGGGAAAAATGCTATTTTGCAATTTTTTGGTGTGTTTTTGTCACCATTAGAAGTTAGATCATTAGCAATAGAATAAAAAATAAATTTGATTAAAATTATCTTATGACTTACCATGTGAAAAACATTGAAATATTTGTTATACAAAAGTTACAGGATTCCTAGTTGAAAAAATTTGCAACCCCTAGCTTGAAAAAAAAAAAAAAAAGAACAAATTTTAGGCCTTTTTTGAAAGTGTAGACAGTTGAATTCAGGATTGAAAGTTTTGTTCAGTTATAGATCCATCCCTTATCTTTTACTCATAAAATTTAAAAAAAAAACCTTATTCAATGCTAACTTAGTAAATATGCCATTAAAATTGATAGATCCAAACAAAAATTTTGCTTTAAAATTCAAACCTACTTTTACCCTTAGAATCTATGGTCTAGTGAATTTAATATATTCTTACTTTTAGATTATTGAGTCTCAATCAGGGTTATATTGCCTGACTCATTTTGAAGCCATTCAGGCTCCAGCTCCTATCCCAATGCAAAAATTGGTGTAGGGCTCCTGCCCATGCACTGTTTTATAAAAAAAAAAGTGCTAATATAAAACACTGTTATTCCTTTAGTGTGATTCTTTGCCCACATATATGACAATTTGATTTTCAACTGCTGCCCTCAAGCAAGCATTTGTTACTTCTCTTTTGACCATTCTTCCTCCTATTCCATCACATTAAAATTTACCAGAAGAGGTTGCAAATCATGCTTTAAAGCTATGTTCATTTTCATGATAGATAATATTGAAATTTTTGCATTGTGAAATTGCTCCATAAATGAAATATTTTATATGGAAGTTCTTTGTGAATCCTTTTTAACATGGAAAAAAAACTGTAACCTGTGAGTAGATCATGTTTTAAATTGTATGATATTACACAATAACAATCATACTTCAAATTATTAAAAGTCCATGTGATATTCTGCAAATTAGTGGTTTGATTGATTCATTGTTTTTTTTTTATAACTTATCAACCCTTTGCAGGTTATTCAAAGCCAGAAAAATATTTTTAGATTGTAAGATTGGGGAGGGGGAGATAGTAATGATTTACTTATACAAATTCTACTAATTAACCTATAGCTGGGGAGAAAGATGTGAATTCATACCTTTCCCAAATGTATTTGTGCATAATTGAATATAACAAGTCCAACTGGCTCTTTGATTTTCAATTCTGAGCACTTATCCATTACACCACTTGCACATCTAACAGTAGCTGGTATACCCAAGCAGTCACACATGTAGGCTCAATGTTGCTTAACTTCTCTGACTGTAAGAGAACCAGTGTTTCAATGAGATATGTCTGTAATACTTCACTAGGCTAGAGGTGTCTTACATAACAAAACACAAGTCACCTATTCCATGACTTTTGGTATATCAGTTCATTTGATAAAATAATAATCACAATATTATGGTTCTAGCATTATTATAAACTTCATATAATTCCTTGTAATCCAAATTATGCTTTAATTTCTCAGAGTTTTCTTCTAAATATGTTGGATCTGTTTGAAACTAGGACATCTTCGTAATACACTTTGCTTTTTATACATAGTGAATTGGTGAGCTTACCACTCGTTCTTGAGACTTTTGGTTGTCCATAGAATATTTGTAAATGTTTTAGTTTGTTACATATTGTTTCCATGAATGGTAGGTAATAATTCTACTGTAGTTCTTACCTGCTTAAATTATATACAAGGAAAATTTTGTCCACCTAATAAATAAGGAGATACAGGCTGAAATTATTGAGTGTGGTCTCACCTAAAATTGAAAATTAAATCTTGGATGACAAAACTGTAGTTCTATGAATAAAATCCATTCGAATAATACAGCCAGGATTGTTTTAAGTTCTATTTTGTGAACATAAGATAAATTGACTGTGGCTCTTTTATGTAATGATGGTGACAAAGATTAAATATATTTTCATTCAATGAATCAATAAATCCATGTATCATAGAAGTAACTAATGTTGTATGATCAGTTGCTATCCATTGTGTAAAATAAAGTTTCTGATAAATCTGACAATGCTTTCTTCTTGATTTTCAGTGTATTCTTCTATATGCTGTGTCTGTTCAAGACATTGGCGATCAGGGCACTCCACAATTTATAGCTTGTCCTTTATAGCTCTTAATAAATTGTCTTTTTTTTAAAATCTTTCCTAAACCCTATTCTGTCATCAATTTACTCAAGCATGCTAGGTAGGTTATGTATTGTTTTCCTCTGTCTTTCTTGTCTTCATTCTGTCCTGTGAGTATTAAATTTTTCAAGTCCTCTTTCTTCATTATATGCCCTAGAAATTTCAACTGATATTAAGTATGTGCACTTTTTGTTTCAATTTTCATTAAAACTTTGTCCTTAATTGATGTTTGATACATCTATAGAACCACTTTTCTGTTGCTTCGTCTCTTCTTCATCTGGTTATCCAGCATTAACTGCCATATAGATGGACTGATATTAAGTAACAGTTCAGTACTCTTTGTTTTTAATGGAATTTTTCTGTTTCTTAATACATTGCTTACATTTTGGAAAGCATTGTTCACTATCCCAATATAGATTCAGATTTCAGTGTCACACTTTCTATCCCATTTTAAAACACTTCCCAGATATCTAAATAGTTGTACTTGTTTAATTTTGGTATCTCCAATTTGTAATTAGCATGTGGTTACTTTTGCTGACAACCGTGCATTCTGTTTTCTGGCAACTGATGTTTAGTTGTTTCTTCTTGCTTTCCTTCATTAACTTCACCAAGAATTTCTGTAGTTTCCTTTCTGTGTCTGCTATAAACACTGTATTATCTGCTTTTCTTATGTTGTTATGTTCATCAACTGTGAATCCTTATAGGACTTCTAATTCTCTCAGAATAGACTTACTGTAAAGGTTCAATAAGTCTACTGAGAAAACACATCCTTGTCTTACACCCCTTTCTATTTTTCTATATATACTCAATTCATTTTCTATCTGTATGCAAGTGGTTTGTTGCCAGTATAGGTTCTGGATTATTCTAATAACCTTCCTGAATATGTCAAGGTTACCTAACAGTTCCAGCAGTTCGTTGTGGCATACATTATCAAATGATTTCGCATAATCTGTAAAGCACAGCTACACATCCTTCAGCATTTTCTATTGCTCTTTCTGATATCACTCTGAGCATAAATATTGCATTCCTTGTTCCAGTGTTTTTACTGTTCTTGTCCCGTTTCCAGTCTAATTCTGTTATGTGCTCTATTCATTAGAATTTAGATGATAAGTTTTGTTATATGGCTCATTAAGCTGATTATCTGATGGAATTCATATTTGTTTGCACCTGGTTTCTTAGGCAACGCTATAAGAATGAAGCTATGTGTATATTTCATTTATTTCAGTGCATTACTATAATAAAATCATTAGCATACACTATCCTTGCAAATCATTGACAAGCACTTTTGTCACTGTTACTAGAAATATTTAGTTTGTTAATACAGAAAATGTGTAAATATATTTGAGGGTAGCATTACTATCAATTGGAATACCCTCCACTGCCTAACTTTGTTTCCATGTACAGGGTTTAAATGCAGTTGGTGTAAAAATAAACACAAATGTGATTTGTTTATATCTCAGAGATGATGTATTGTAACTATTTACATTGTTGGAACTGTTGTCCTCATCTTTATTGCCATATTCGCAGCATTTTGGCTGTTGTAAGCTAAAGGCTTTCTTCAGGCGATATTGGTTGGAATTTCAAACCAAACCATTTATTTACTCCATGGGGGTAGATTTTCCTAATTTAATGTGCTATGCCTTTAGATATCTAACTGACATATCCAAAGACATAGCATGTGAAATTAGAATAATCTACCCTTGTGGAGTAAATAAAGGATTTGGTTTGAAATTTCAACAAATAACGCCTGAAGAAGGCTGGAGTATAAATCGTCTGAAACCTTGTGAATATGGTAATAAATATGAGGAAAACTGTACAAATAATGAAAATAGTGTAAATACAAACATGATTATTAATTAATTTTTTTCCTCTTTCTTTTTAATCAAAATTTGCAGTGTCATTGTAAAAAACGTTGTTGGATTATTATTTGTTTATTAAATTACATTCTGACCATAATGTCACAAGTTGCATAAAAATATTTAGTTTTAACTTTTTAATGATATGGTTGATGGAATAATGTGGATTTACATGAGGGTTTTTTTAACAAACAGAAGTCTACATTTTTTTCATGGGGGAAATTTATGATTGCATATGTTCAGAGACTTCAGCTTGCTTCTAGAGAGAGTTTGTTTCATGTTTAGGGCGATGGGAGCCGTCAATAATATCCCTTGCACAAAAAAAAAAAAAAAAAAAAAAACATATCCTTTTCAACCACGTTCCAACAAAAAATAGCAGGGGACCACCTAACTAATCACATTAACCAGAAGAAAAATTAAATAAAAAAAAAGAAAACTAAAACAACACAAAGACGAAATGAATTAATCAACTCAAGTGAGCTGTAAAAAGGTAACAAATAAATTTGATATCTATTGATTCAATTTCCATTATTAGACTGACAACTCCGGTGAGAATGTTAAAGAAAGAAGAATCTATCATGGAGCTTTCGCTAACTCTCTCAATGAAAATACGTTTGTTTATTTCCTGGTTGAATATTTTAGTGTTGAAGTTTGTAGTTGTTTTTTTGTTTTTATCTAGAATGTATAAAACAGCTTTTCTTATTTTGTAGTAACGAAATTAATTATTAATACAATTTCAAAATGACTTGGAAATTATATTGTTGCGAAACACTAAAAAAATAAAATCCATCGCACCAAAACAAAAACAAAAACAAAATGTGAATTTTCTGAAACAACAACATTAATAATTATCAGGTGAATTTTTTTTGCGTTAAAATATTCTTCACAGCCTCTACTTTAATAAAATATGAATTTCAGGGTCAATATTGAGATACACAAATTTCTAGTGACAATATCGAAATGTAAACATAAAATAAAAATAATCAAAGTAAAGAAAGATGTCTCTACGAACCACGTGCTCTCGACTGGAGTTATTTAAACACGTGTTTATAAAGAAGAAAAAAAAGTCTATCTAAAATATAATGGCATAATTAGTGAATGTTAACAGAGGATATATGTATTTTTCCATACCATTGCATAATTTCTCCTTCGTCCATTGAAATAGAAAAGAATTGTTCATCACCGGTAAGTCAACCAAACGTAGTAAGCAGCCATGTTGTTTACTAAAAGCGGCTGTGAAAAGTGAGCTTAACAAATTCGGTTAGTTTCGTCTGATAATCGCTTGCGATTTGAGCAGACGAAAATATTCCTCTTATTTTTATTTTCTTAATCAATTCACTCCAAGCAAGGTTATGAAGTCACTAAGACGAAAGGGAGTAGCGTGAGAGAGGGGCTACTAAGTGTGAAAGAATATAAGAAAAAGAAAAAGATTATTAAGGAGAGAAAACAATAAAAGAACAGAAATTCAAAAATTGTACAGGCGTACTGAAATAGGCATAATTAATAATAAGGAACAAAAAATTAGGGTTTTCCATGAGTATTTCATAAAGGTATGAGAATGTAATGCCGTTTGTGTGTAGCCTAGCGGTTATTGGAACGGGTCTGTTGCATTCAACTTCGCACAAATAGCCTCATAAGGTATCTCTTTTTATTATAGTTGGGGGTTAAAAATAGCAGGGCAGATTTAGTTCTTTAGCTTTGGTTGAATGGCAATTATAAATTCAAAACAGTTTGGGCGTGGGTCCAGTAACGTAAAAACTAGATACCACCAAAATGGATAAAATGATTTCCGAAAATGAAAGCAAAGAATCCCCCGAACTCGATTATGAGTTCTTTGTATTTAGCCGCTTCAATCACCTTGAGTTCGGAAAAATCGGCTATATAGACGTTGAATCGACTGGGGATCAGAACAAGCTAGCTTGTAGAAATCTCTTGAAAATAATCTCTAAAAACCTCGCATATGTCTTCGTTTTTAGTCTACCTGGTAATAGTGATATGTCGATCTGACACGCTTCGAAGTTCCTTAGTACGTAATTCACTGACCATATTTGTTACCTCAGAAAACATTCTTTTTTTTTTTAACCTAGCCCTAATTACGAGCGTTTGGTTCTTCTTGGTAAGCAAGGAGACCAGCTCCGCCATTATAAAAAAAAAAAAATTATTACTGTTAGTGTAGAGGACCGTGGCTGTGCTGATGAGTATGTAAAACACACGTGGGTTAAAATTTCCTGCTAGCCGGTCCAACTACATGAGAAAGTTGGACTTTAATTAAGTCCAAAGAAGGCAAAGAAAAACAAACACAAGACCGATAAATATATGTAAACAAATATATGTATTAATAACAAGAAAGGTTACAAGTTACATGGACAGAGTGCGTGTGGTGAATATTATGTGTGTGTGTTGTGATGAGTGTTCGTACGTACGTGTATTGTTCTTAGCGTGTTCCCAGCATTTGGGAAACGCTGTATCTGGGAGCGTTCACATCTGCGAGGTGGTATAAAGCCGAAGCCTGAGGAAAAGGTTATTTATTTCTGTGCTATAACAGAAAATGTGGCACAAGGCCGAAGTGGGGAATGGGGAAGTGGTCGGTCTTCTGTCTTAACTTCTAAACTTAGCTAGCCACAAACCCAATCATACTAACAATATTTCTTGCACCAAAACAACACATTCTTACTTACCTTTCTCACCACACCCACCGTAATACTTCAATGGCTCCATGAAAATACTAACTAGACTCCATATGTACAATCTGTGGTCTGTGGGTGGGTGGGTGGTATAGGGGATTAAAACAGCAATTTAAAAAAATTTAAAAAAGTAACCCCAATGAGCATTTACAGTATGAAACAAATAACTATTTACAAGAAACTAAACAAAATCGTGTTAGTAATAAACCCCCCACAATCACTAAATATGGCAGAAACATCAGTTAACTAGACGAAATTAATGCGGGACTATAAAAATTAAAAACATTCATTCATCCCAAGCACTCACACAGACATGCACTCATTCAGACACTAAACCTAAGCTAACCTAAAATTTGGAGTGGGTTGACCATGTTCAACCCAGCTAAAGCAATATCCTGATGCCTAACCGACAGCAAAGTGCCACTCCAGGTGAGCCCCTTTCACACGACACAAACGCGCAAGATTCACCCACCTTTTGCCGAATTCAGATGAAGTGAGTCGCCGCCTTTCCGACCTAATCTTGACTTTAAGCTGATACCTAAAGTACAAAATCAGCTGAGAAGAGGTAAACTTCTCGCCTCCATAGAATCCCTTCTGACGTGTCGTCCAAATCACGACTCTCATAACACCTAGTAAGCATAAGAACACATAGTGTTCAGCCCTCGTCAACGGCGGAGCCACATTGCTACAAACAGAAGCGGCCTCAAGGACAAAGAACTTTCCAGGCAGCATGCGAACCATGAGGCCTTCAACATACTTGCACAGCGGTGCTATCACCGAGCAATGAAAAAAGGCGTGACCAATGGTCTCGACCTCCCCACTACAGCGGCGGCAATTTGGATATTTCTCCAAGCCCGCTAAGCAAAGTCTTTTGGCGACCCAGAGGGACCCACGTATAACCAGCCAGGTGAGTGATGCCTCATTGTTATTGAGACATTTCAACCCGGGCGCCCTAGGCCATATCGAGCGAACCTCCCGCTTCGTAAGACCGAGCTCGTCAATCAAATCATCACGAACGCCCCCACCCCTAACTAACACCTGATATAATGCCTTACGAGACAACGCCTGGGCGGGCGTTGGAGAGGCCACCCAACGCCCATAAGAGTCGTTTCAGAGCAGGACGACATTCACGGTAGAAGAAGCACTCGGCTTTGGGTAAACGGTGAGTCTCCTCCTCGGCTGAGTGCACACTTCTTAAGGATGGAAGTTCTTACGGGCGTCTTCCTTCCAGAAGGCGCCCACCTCATCCAGTTTGCGACACATTCGATCCAGGAACCCGATGCAAAGCATATATTGACGAATCTCAATGCTAGGCATACCTAGATCGCCTTCAGATGGATGAAGGCAACAGATCTCCCGAGAGACTCTGGCAGCCTTGCCTCCCCACAAGAAGGAGAACAAGAGCTTCATTAACGCCAGTAAAGTGTCATACGGAAGTGGAAACACAGAGAGTCGGTAAAGGAGAATCGGGTAGATGTGTGAAACACATACTTCCGCCCTCCCCTTTAAGGAAAGATTCCTCCGAGACCACAAATTAATTGCGATCTCGGCCTTCCCTTGCACCTCCGACCAATTCATATCCAACTGGAGATCCGAAGCCTGAGGAAAAGAGGAAGAGGCGAAGGGTCACACAGTATTTATAGCCAGGGGAGAGAGACCCCTGTTGAAGGGTTAAGGAGCTAAGGAGGAGCTAACTCCGACATTAGTCTTTGGTAATAAATGGTTTAATCGTATAGGTTTTTTTTTGTACCCGTTCTTTTGAGAGTAGTATATTTTTAAGAAGGCCAGACGGTTTGTGTAAAAAATTGTTTCATATGAATATCTTTTGGGATTTAGCGGTTAAAAACAGCCAAAATTGTTAAGAGTCCATTTCAAATTTATGAAAAATATTTCTTTTGCATTTACTGACCAATGAGAGATATTGTCTCAAGCTACAGTAAAAATCCGGATGGAGAACTTTTGTGAGCTTCTACTTTTTTTTTAAAAACAGAACTCACGTCAGTTGATAAGGCAGAAGTTTTTTGACATCAAGAAAAAGCAGTTAGAAGGAAATTGAAATCAAGGAGGAGAAGGTATTTGACCTCAAGGAGAAGAAAGTATTTTGGCGAGAAGGCACAAGGTTACAAGCCTGCTGAAGAGGGACGAAAAAATTTTGAAGTTCAAATGAAAATTCTCCTGGACGACGAAAAAGAATTCAAAGAATTTTTCCCAAACACAAACACTGTGAATATAAAAAAAAGACATTTCCAAAATTGTTATGCCCCAGAACATCTAAGAACATTTAAGACGTTCGCAGGTTTGACAGCTTAATGTTACTGATATTAATTAATGTTGTTCTATGTGGATTCTAGATTTTAAAAATGTAATTGAATTAACGTGAGTGGCTTTTTAAATTTTTAAGTGGTTAGTATTCTTAAAAATTTATGAAAATATTCTCCGTAGTCTAATGTTCTATTGAATTTTAAACATTTTTGGCTGTAAATTTGCTACAGTTATCGCTCTTATTTTCTGATAATACCGTGTATGGTGGATCGTATATAGAAAATCGGTACGTTTATAAAAAAAAAAATTCCAAATTCTTATAAAAATATTGGTGTGTGATGATTTGTACTAAACTTTTTAATTTATGATTAGTAAATATAGATTTCACTTAGTAGCAATATCATCTAAAAGGGACAAATTAAGATAGAATTAAAAAATAATTTAAAAATAATTAAAACTTAATAAATTATTCTAATTAAATATAAAAAGTGAAAACAAATCATGTGAACATTCATTATTTATCGAAAATCTTTTTTTCTTAAGTCGATTGTGTCCTACTAAGGACACAATCGACTTAAGAAAAAAAGATTTTATGAAATATATATCTTATGAAAACAATTAAAAGCTTTTCTAATTACATAATATCTTAGTTTTATTGCATTTTTTTTATTTTACGATTCGGAGCTTTTGTTGGTAATTGAATAGATATTTAAAAAAAAAAATGATTTACATTCTCCAAGGACTCCTGCTTTTAACTAATAAAAATATGAGGGACAAAATTTAATTTCTGGAAATTTCATTAATTAATTAAGGGGTGGTAACAAATGAAAATAAATATTTTTATCAAGATTTTCTAAAAAACGTTTCTAAAATAATTTAATTCATCTATAAAGGGCAGTTGTCTGTGTGTGTGTTCGGCTAAAACTAAAAACTACAATAGTAATGACGAAGTAAATATATATACAGACTCATTATCACCCAAACCAAGTTTTTGTAAAAAATTAACATCGTATGATTTGTATTTATGAAGATATTTTAAAATTAAAATGCATTAGAATGCATTCAATATTCTCAGACTTAAAAAGTAAAAATGAACAGTAATAATTCTTATTCCAGATTAATGATTACCGTTCGTTTTCACTTTTTTATTCTGCTAAACCAAACGTTATCCAGTTATGTCTTTTTAAAATTTCTATTCACTTATATTTATT